GCGCCAATCGTTCTTCGACTAGCTGTACCCATTGCTTGCGCTGCTCTACACTTTCTTCTGAGACCCCACGGAGTTTACCCACATCTGGGCAGGGGGGACCTGTCGCTCTAGCAGGTTGCTTGGCCCACTTGCGCCCGTGTCGGAGTCGGACCTCTACTGGGTTGTGATCCGTGTAGTCTCCCCAGGGCCACGCTACGTTGGGTCCTTCCTGTAGCACTCGGCAGTGCTGTAGGTGCCACAAGCATTCTTCCCGGATGAAGATGTGGTCCAATTCGTGTTCTGACCGGTATCTCGGGTGTTGCCAGGTGGTCCGGTGTCGCAGCTGATATCTGCTGGCACAGTCGCGGAAGCCCTCCGCCTCGGCCCATTGCCGCCACTCCTGTCCGGCCGTGGTGATCTTGGGACGTGCGAAACGACCGACCACCGTGTGTCCCAGAGTGTTTGCGTTCTGGTTGTTACCCAACTCTGCGTTGATATCTCCCAGCAAGAGGGATATACTGGTGGCCTGCGCCATGTTGATCACGTTGGATACCTGGTCCCGAAGCTGGTGCCGCTCCTGTACCGTGCTGCTAGACGTCGGAGCGTACACCCCGATCACGAAGATTCCTCGGCGCCAACCGCGTCTTGGGAACTGTATTCCTGCCACCCTGGAACCTCCCGAGTAGGTTCTACTTCCTCCCTCTTCCCACCATTCCCTCCACGTATCGCTGAGCAGAAACCCAACTTGTTGTCGAACCACAAGCGTCCATGTGCCTCCCTGGACTGCGCAACTGCGAACCTGGTCGCCAGCGTACTTGAGATCAGTCAGCACTACGCATCCCCATCTTTGCTGGACCATGCGATGTATGAAACATTTCAGCTTCATCTCCTGGTTGTGTTCGCTGTGTCGCGAACCCAGTCCTCGCGTATTCCAGGTGGCCAATCGGATATTGCGCTTGTGGTCTTTTTCCCTTTCTGTTCGTGTAGCTTGTGTCCTCCTTTGGGCTTGTTGTACCCGAGCCGTTCGAAGCCGCTTAGCTCTCTTCCAAGTCTTCCGGTTCCGCGCTAATGCTCGCCGGATATGTCGCAGCTCTTGCGCATTGGCTCCCGCGCTTTGAGCAGCCTGTAGCTGTCGTACCCGGGCGGTGACCCGCCCCCTCAGGTATTTTAGGTGTTGGGGCATTGTCCCTTTGCCCTTTCCTCGCTTCCCCAGTTCTGGGGGTACGCGAATTTGGGTTCCTCCTACAAAGACCGGGATGATCACCGTAGGGTCAACCTATAGGAGAACCTCGTGTTGTGGCTTCAGTGACGAGTAACCGACGACCAGACGGTTACCCGTGTTCCCTTGCCGACTCAGTACCAATCAGGGAGACTCCTTCCACCTAAGTGTCGGGAGTCAACGGCCCCGATGGTTTGAGCCGAAAGGGCATTGGTCAGTGGATGACTATTCCGCCCTTCCGTGTGATGAGGTGTGTGGTTATGCGTTGGCCGTCGTAGCGACCGCCTACTTTTTCATCGGAAGAGCTCCAGCTCGAGAGCTGGGGTGGATTAGCCCAGCGTGGTCCTTTAATCGTATCGTACGAAGGCTGTGGTAGCATTCAATGCCCGGTAGCGTGGTCATGATACTCCGCGTGTCGTCTCAACTTCATGCGAGCCGGAGTGTCGTGGCATGCGTGTCTGAGATGGCCGGTGACCTGAGAGAAGAGGCCCTCCTCTGATGCGCATGTTCTCAAGGGAACGGTGTCGACACGTGCATCCGACAGCCCAAGAAAAAAAGGACACCAACAAAAACCAAAACAAAAACGACACCGACAACCCCCCCCAAACCAAAACAAAAACGACACCGACAAACCCCCAAAAAAAAAAAAAAAAAAAAAATCCACGGTGGCTGGTTTTCCGCTGCTCGGCCGCGTGGAGGCCAGCGTCATCCCGAAGAGCAGCAATTGCTCGGGCTCTTGCTGCACTCCATTGGGTCCATTCCACCTGCGGGACCGTTAGCTGACCTAGCCCCTTGTAGGCCAGCGAGGTCAGGTACATCTGTCGGAGCATGAGCACGCTGTCATTGTCCGTGTCCTCCATAACCCGGGGCTCCAGGTCCTCTAAGCCCCACAGGGTCTGCTCCGCTCTGCCCCTCACCAGCGGCGGGCCACCCGGTTTAGGATGCTCCACGTCCTGCAGTTGGGGCCGCCCCCCACAAAAGCGACCTTGCCCGCCATGGCCATGGAGCACATCGTAGAGTAAGGCTCATCTCCCAGCATGTCCTGCCCAAGGTCTCCACCCTTTCGCCTGATGTCCACCGCCCAAATGTACTCCGAGAAGGCCGGGTTGTAGGCATGGAGGTAAGCATCCAGGGCCCCCGCATCATCCTTCCCAGCGTACAGCAGGATGAGGGACGGCTTTGACGACTCCGGCACTGGACGTGGCGTCCACCTTAGTCTGAGCCTCAGTCTTTCCGGGATGTCCTGCATCCATGGGAAGGTGGGGCTTGCCCCCCCTAGGGATTCCGTGTGTCCTTTGTCTGACCCTCCCGTCATCTGTCCCTGGGCTTGCTGCTTGCCCTGGCGGTTCTTCCCGCCCTTGGAACGCCCCTTGCCGGGCGGATCCTCACCTCTGGGTCTCTCTGGGGGGTCTTCCCACTGCCTCGGTGGGTGCGGAAAAAAGGGATGCTTCCGCCCTTCTGGCTGGGTCCGCTCCTCTTCCTCGGTGGAGGGGCTTCCGGGGCCGGTGGCACCCTGGAGAAGTCCCCTCCCACCTGAGGCCGTCCTGGCCTCCCCCGCTCTGTCTGCCTTCCGCTGTGGCTCTGGTGGGGTTGGCTCTCCCCCTCTGTGTGCACTCTCGCACTGGTGGCCTGTGGTCCCAACGGAGACCAGGAAGCCACGGGGCCTATGGCACCCTGAGTGGCCTCCTGTCACTTGGGAAGGTGTGGGCATGCCTGTGGCACATGCTTCGATGGGGGGGCATCGCACACCCACCCATCCTTCCTGACCGGGCAGTTGTGGGATCGGCCGCATGATCCCGAACACTTGTTGTGGAGGTGATGATCTCTGCAGTACGCCACCCCTTTGGGATTCTTGAAAGCCCAGTGGTCCGGCCATGGAACCGAGGGGGTGTTGGGGGACTTCCCCTTGCCGCCCTTGCCCTTCGGCTTGGACCGGGTCGGCCCCGAGGGCCAGGAACCTTTCCCCCCCTTCTTGGGCTTCTCCCACTGAGTCTGCCACACCTTGGGTGCCTTGCTCTTGCTCTTCCCCTTCTCCGGCGCCCTGTTGAGGTGCTCATAGACCTCCCGTTGCCAGAAGAGGAAGTCGCCCCTGATATTCTTGAGGGCATCGGAGAGAGTGGTGCCCTGGTGCACCATCTCGTGGATCTTGCGCCATGCATTGCGCTCTGCGAACAGCAAGGTGGTGTCGCTCGGGGGAGGCTTCCTGCCGGCGATGTCTTCCCCATAGAACCAGGCATACCAATCATCCAGCTCCTCCTTGGTGACCCTCAGGTTGCCAAACTGTGGCAGTGCTGCCGTGCACATCAGGAGCGTCGTCCTGAAGGTTAGGTGCGTTCCAGCTGGCGCCGGATGTAGGGTGGCTCCTCACCTCTTCTTCATCCTCCCTGTCCCAGCCGTCCACCGTGATCTTCTTGTGGGTGGATGAGGGGCGTTCCCCTTCTTCCGGGAGCGCGCTCACGATGTGTTTTGCCGGGATGTAGCCCAGCTCACCCTTGGCAATCATGCGCCACTGCTTCTTGAGGTAGCCATCACTCCCTTGGAACTCCAACCTCGGCTTCGGGGTCCCATGCGTGGCCACGTAAGCATCCTCCAGCTGGCGCCTGTCACACAGGACCTCCAAGGGCGCCTTTGTCGGGCCCGCCTGGCCCGCCGGGTGATCACCTTGGTTGCCCCCCCGGACCAAGTTGGCTGCCACCCGAACTGCCTGAAGGAGGCGCATCGCCGTGAAGGCCGAGGTCTGGGCGTTGAACCCGTTCTCCCCATCCCGGAATCCCAGGTCCCGGGGACCATTCTCCCTAGCCGCCGCCGGGGTGTCCCAGCGATCCGCCAGGTCTTCCACCGTGACGTATCCCGATGCGCCCAGAGCCGCCTGGGTGGCCCAGGGGATTTCCTTTCCCACCAGGATGGCCGCCAGTGGCTTGTGCAACTTTGCCACGTCCTCCTTGAACTCCGCTGGGACCTCCTCCGGTGGTTTGGCCGCCATGACCTCCGACCTTGGTGTGGGTGGGTGGGTTTTTCACACAAATTGGGTTCAAAGAACCCAGGGCAAAGCTTGAGCCAAAATGGCATGCGCCATTATGGTCAAGCATTGCAAACACAGTTCATGTTTCCACATGCGTTTCAACATTAACAAAACAAAACAAAACATAAGGGACTCTCACGGAGCTCATTTCAAACCCCGGAAAAGCCCTCTGTGATGTGAGACCCTCGATCCCATCATCACAGCCCGAAAACTCACTTCAGGATGGAGACCTCCCTGAGAGCACATGAGGAGGTGGCAACAGGAAGGCTCAGTAACTTTGCAAGAAAACCCACCGAAGAAAGAGGCATCATTTCTGCGGATGGACGATTTTTTTCGCACTCCTCTTCAGAAACTCTGGAATGATTCCATTCCCTAACGTGCATTTACCACGGCTTCAAAGTGCGATCGGATTTCGCAAAACTTTCCGCAATCTGCATGGGAAAGCTTTCGGCCGAACGTTCGAATGGCAGCGATGCAGACAGCTGGCGCCCGTGAACTTGGTCGGGACGTAGGTCAACTCAAGACGCAACCAACCCCATCCCTCCCGTTTTGAGTGAAAGCCGTTTTTTGGGAGACCACACGTCGGGGATATCACATGAATGACACATATAGTTCACATACCGGAAATCCGGACTCCACAGGTGAGGTTGCCAAACTTTAAACCTGTAAGGGTGTTGTCAGTTGCCCAAATTGTGGAATAACACCATCCGTGCCCCTTGAGTGGAATTAAACCTCTACCCTTCGAAGCAGCCTGAGAATGCGTCGGCTTTGGCTCCCGGCAGCTTCGGAGCATCGGGGCCCCTTGGAATAACCTGAGAGGTGCGCTTGGTTCTTGCTAGTTCTGAGCTTCTTCGCTGCGTTTGACGGTTGCTTGTTGTCATGTTGCGCTTTTGTTGTCATGCGTTGTCTTTGCATGTTGTGTCGTGTCTTTGGGGCCCAGATTGCCAGCGTCCCGCCTTCCCATGGCCGGAAGAGCTGGTATCGATGTTGGCGATGGTGTCTTTTGAAAGTTGGTGAAAAATACAAGCAAACTCTCTCAACTAGAGCAACTGCATGTCATCCCAGCATATCTAGGCACACTATTTGCTTCATTCACACACCTGAGGTAAGGATCCCTAATATGACAAATCCATGAATGAAACAAAACAAATCCCTTTCTGGGGCCGCTAAGCAAAGTGGTCACACCAAAGAGTTCCTGGCCGCTGTCAAAAAAAAGGAGCACCCACAATCAAACCATCTAAACTTGGGCTGTTCAATATGGAGAGTTGGCCAATCTCCAATCCGTCCCTTTTGGTGGGAGCACCAACAAGCAAGAGCAAAACATTTCGTAGCGCAGCCATGGCCAACAAATGGCCACCCTTTTGTGTAGTTGCTCGGAAAAGGCAACCACCCCATCAAAAATCAGGCAATCACAGAGGCCGCTGCTTGGTTGCTGATAACGCCCCTTCTGCAAAAAGTGATCAGCTCGTGGGTCCAATAGGAAAATCCCAGCTCTTTCAACCAAAAAGCTAGAGTTCAAAGATCCGCTACGAAATAGCCAGAAAGACTGGAGGGTATGTACGTACTAAAATGGTCGAATCCCCAGAAGTGACTAAAGTTCAACACAGGAAGTGAACTGGAAGTGAGGCCATGTTCGTCTTTACTGTGGGGTGACTTAAAGGCAGAGTGTTTTTCTTGCTCGCTCGCTCGCTCGCTCGCTGGTTTCTTGTTTGTTTGCTTTGCAGAGTGACTCCAAGCTCTGAGAAATCAAAGCCCTTGTCCATTTCCATTGGGAAAAGGCGAAGAAGAACTCCTCATTTAAAAGAAGGCTCTGGGTTCTTTTTTCCCTGTTGAACGGGAGCTACCTGGGCTGTTTGGTTGGATCTTGAACGTTCAACACAATGGTTGAAAATGCGCGTGCCCCCACCGATCAATTAAAGGGTGGATGCCTTGACTAATTATTGAAAGTATCTCAACCACAAGCCATTGGAACTTTCAAGGCTCCCCGTGTTCCCAACATACCTAGGGCATCCTCCGAAGCGAATCACGTGCGCTAGGCGCAACCAGAAGGCCGTGCTGGTTTGGTGAGTCTCAGAAGCTGACCGACAGAAGCTCTTGGAAGGAGTGACCTTCTCTTAGGCCTGCCGTCGGAGAAGCGATCGATTTTGGGGTGAAAAGCTGCACAAAGGACTTCCGTTTGTTCAAGCCCTCGAAGAAAAATGAGAGAAACTCTGTCCAGTAGTGAAATCGATTCCCTTTAAAACCCAACAAGGGCAAATTGAATAAAAGCATTTTTCCAGTAGTGACAGCTTCCCTTGAAAACCATCAATGGAAAATAAAACAAATTTGTTTGAGCAAATGAAAGAGAAAGGGAATGCCAATCACAGGGACAGCGCCACACGGTTTACAGTCGGGTGAAAGCAAATGGCCCGCTTCGCACCGCGTTGGTTTAGTCATCTCCTATGTACTTTCCCACATGACTTCCTGGTGCGATAGGTAGGGAATGTGAGAATGAACCTAGCTGCAATTCCTTTGAAGGAAGCCACCAGTTGGATGGTTTTTTCTTGGGTTCATTCCATTTCCCAAGGGGCCCTGCGTCTCTCGCACCATGAAGGCTTTGGCCGTCCACGGGTCTTTCGCGTATCTCGGATCGATCTCGCGGCTCCGGCCTTCGATCACAAAGAAGCGCGAGCCTTGTTCAAACATCCCCCAAACCAAGCGAAGAGTGCAACGCAGAACGGACTGGGTGCAACAATTTGACGACTTTTGACTTGTCTCAAAACGAGTCTTGGGTTTACAGTAATTGCGTCTCATTGGGAAATATCAATCTAAACATCGGCAGTATAGGATATGACTCGGCCCAAAAAATCGGTTTGGTCTTGGTTTGCCTTATGAAACGCCCAAATAGGGTACCAAGCCTCAAAAAGACACATCCACATTCCTCACCCGCCATGTTTGCCAACGCATGACAGGGTCAAACAACAATAACATCCAGCAACAACCCAAGCAGCAAGCAACACATTGCCTTTTGGCACCAGCCCCCTCTTGGGCTATTTGCTAACAAAGAACATGCTCTTTGCAGCTTTTCGCCTGAATTCAGAGCCAAACCAACCAAAGGCACCGAGAAGAACTACCAAGCACAGCAAAGCCGTGCTTGAAAACCCCAAGAAACGGATCATGAACTCGTCTTCGCCGTGGGCCTTCAGCCAAAGAATTCCAGAGGGGCACATCTAGGATGCTTCCCACGGCATTCGAAACCAAAGGCAATTCACCCCACCCAGGAAGGTCTTTCATGAAGCTTTACTAAGTAATTCTTAGAGGTCATCGAACATTCTGACGAAAAGGCGTGCAGGGCTGTGGGGGTTGGTTGCTTGCTTCTGTGATAAGAAGCCTCCATTCAAAAAGCACAAGTCATTTGGAAGGCCTTCCATTCGTATCATAAGTGGGCAGCTGTTCCCAGATCCTCTGCCAAAAAGTCGAAGACTTTGTGGATTAGTGGAAACTACCACGAAATTACCGAACAACCTCAAAACCATTAAAAACCTAAGGAACCAAACAACGCTCAGGAGACGTGGTCCTGGGCTTCGGGAAAGCACCTTCCGAGGTGTCGGCGGCCATCTAAGACGCAGAAGCCCGACAGCAGATCCTCAGCGCGGCTTGGAGGTGTCTGTCCCCAGCAAGCTGCCCCCTTCGGCTTCCAGTCCTCAAACGCCGCCTTCCCACAATCGGCGCCAATCAACTGAGGCGATCAAAAACCCCTACAAGAACCGGCCTAATTATATCTGCAAGATAGATCATGAGGCTACCCCCCCAAAGAAAAAGCAAAACAAAAAACGGCGAAAGAGCACCGTTGGGTTACGAATGCAAGCACGAAACACACTTTGACACCAAGGCCCCAAAGGCCGAAAAGGCCCAGGACATGAAAGACCGTGAAAGACTATCACATACCTCGACAAACATTGGACTAACAAGGAAAATGGGTCTGTCTTTTTCAGGGTACCCGATTTTTTGGGTAGGTATTGAATTGGGAAACTAGAAGGAAGACCATCCAGAAGCTTCAGAAGTTGGCGTTCTTCTTTGGCTTGGCTTGGGCATCTCTCATGGGATCAATTTGAAGTCTGAATGCGTATCGGTAAAGCGCAGCAGACCACAGACCTTGCAAACGCCTGGTTCTAAACTCATGGCCTGAAAGTTTTTCAACTTCGTGGGCAATCAGCCACTCCAAACAGGCAACAAACCAACATTTGAACATGAAAACGGTTTATGCACGTTTTGGGAGAAGGCGTGTACTTTGTTTTCCCCACCTAGGTCTTTGACACAAACCGCACCACGCCCTCCATACGTACTGGGCGAATGATCTATGGGTTGTCCGCTTTCTGATGCCGTGCCAAAAGTTGTTTGAACTTGTGGGCCAAATGGAATCCAACCACGAAACCAACTATATAAAAACAACTAAACACCTAAGGGTCTTCATCTCGAGTGAGCAGCTGTTGGGCCATAGCCGTAGTCAGGGCAGCAACTTGTATGCTCAGACACTCGAGGGCGACCTACCGGGAGACGAAGCAAATGAGTCCTCAAAACCCGGGCGCCCTTGGAACCGCTGCCACTCTTCTTCCCTTTCAAAGGTGAAAGAAGCAACAGAGTCCTTCGCGCCTTTGTGAGGTGGCCCAGGCTATGCTCTGTTGCTATTGCCCCACGGCAAATCCCCCCCCCCAAAAAAAAGAAGCATACTAACACTGTTGCTTAACATGCACGCTCTCCGGAAGAAAACACAAACCTCCCAAATAGCAGCCACGCATCCCGAACTCAAGTTGGGACGCCAACAGGGCGCCAGAAAGCAGCTGAGGCTGCTGCTAGGTGCGGATCCTCCTGCTCCTCCTGTGACCTGCGCAGCTTCGGATGCCCGGCAAGTAAACCGTTCCATGCGGAACAAAAATACACACCACACCGTGCCAAGAGATACTTGCCGCAAAAACCGCCGCAAAACGTGCAGCAAACCAAACACTCGCAAATAAACTGCTCTTTAAGTTGCGAAGCCGTTAGGTTGCTTGTTGCGGTAGGTTTGAAGGTTTCTGTTGGCACTGTGCAGTGTTGAGTTGGCATCCACCTTACCCTTTCGTCGACCCCAGATTTATAAAGCTGCAGATTAAGCTCCCTTTCCCCCACCAAAAGTTAGGAATATCTCTGAAATGACCCCGCCTCCCCCCCCCAAAAAAAAGAAAAGAAAGAAGAAGTCTTTGTTGAATCCTGGGTCCCCATTGTACCCCTTATCTACATTTATCTACCACCTTAGGTTGGTATCATCAGACTAAAGGGAATTTCTGGTTGCAACACGTCCTGAGGGTCAGGTTGTCACTACCCTTGAGCAGTCTATCGGCAAACAATGGTCCACGACGAGCTTAGCAGATTCGTTGGTGCGGTGCATCTAACTCAATCGGCACGCCAACCAAGTTACGCTGCCCCCTTCAAACGTCACCATGACCAACAAAACAACAAGCCAAACCGATTAACATAACAGTAAAGCAAATTGCGCACCGGTGAACACGACAGAAGTATCACTCCAAACGTGCGAGTCACTAACGAAGAGCGTGAGAACATGACTACCTGAATGTTCAACCGGACAAGCAGGTTTCTATCATGGTTGCACAGTTTTTGGGAAGACGCCCTAAAGAGGTCCTTAGCTCATAATGAAAGAAACGACCCAAACAAAAGTGAGTCCGCTTCCATTTGGCAACCTTGTGGCGGCTGGTTTCGAGTTCATATAAACTCTCCAGTGATCTTTGCGGTGAAATCCTAGGTTTAGATCCCTTGAGTAGAAAACCTAGGCGAACATGGAACCTTGGAGATCTCGAGGGCCATTCTTCCCTGAGGCCTGGTAGATATGCTGGAAGGTAATGCTAACCCGGATTCATAACCCCTGGTGCGTTCAGTGGAAATTTGCATCAACCTTTCTGTGTTCCCAATTTATAGGATGGGTTTATTCACCCGGGACTCCCATTCAATTACCCAGCTTGGTTCAAGCAAAGTGACACAGCACGGAGACGGTTTTCTCCCCCAAGCCGCGCCCCCTCGCGCCAAAACACATCTGAGCCCACGACAGCTCCCGCAGCTTGAACTCACCGTCCTGCGAGGAAAAGAAAACGCCTAGGGGGCAACTTCCCGAGTTGGTCAACGGGCAACCCTCAACCTAGGAACAAGTATATTCTTTGTTTATATGTTTGTGCCAGGGGCACACATGTAAGACAGTCCCGTTAGCTCAAATGTCCTGTCTGCCTTTCCGGAAACCACCCAATGCCCACAGGAACGATGGATTTAAGGGAATGTAGATGGAATGCCCCCAGCAAAAAGCACGGCAATTCAGCTGGAGCGCCCAAGTGGGAGAACAGCTTGCCAAGCCATCAGTGCGAGCGAGGGCACCCTCTGCTCTTGAAAACAACATCTACTTATATCGTTGGACAAGTAGCCAAGTCCACACTTATACCAGAATAACTAAACCCAAATGACTAAACCAAATGGGAATTGCATACTTTCACCCAACTGCTTCTAACATGGCCATGGGAAGGGCGAAGGGCCCACTTCTTCATCGCATCACTCTGATACATGTGCTGGCCAATCTCCAGGACAAGCATTTACAGGAAAACCAAGAGGAATCAAAAGCTATCCATGTTCGTCCTTTCTGAGAAAGCCCAATGGTGAAATTAACGTCTTGCCCGTCTCTTGGAGCACACCTTAATCGAACTCTTTGAGGGATCCACAACTCGGCTCGCTTGCTCAACTAGAATCATTCCCTTAGCATGCGCTAGATGTCGATCCCACTTTGTGAATTGGAGTCCCACTTTGTGACTTGGATGTGGTTCCGCTTAGGCTATTCTCATGGCAAGGGAGCTAATCTAATCGAGTTACCGCAGTTACCACACGTGGGTTGAACAAAGCAGTGTGACGCTTCACTCAAAAAGTTGATCGCAAATAAGCGCAGGGATGGAAGTGAAAGGCGCCCTTGACTTCCTATTACCCAAGGAAGCCGCTTCTTTCTCCCACTATGTTCACAAATGGGTATGTCCAAACCGGATTTGGACCCACCAAAATAGCGGTCTCCTTTTGGTTCCCCTTCAACACTCGACTGGGAACCTTTAAAAACACACACACACACACATCGCAACAGAGTGAAGGATCGCCAGGCCCCGAAAGAGCTGGGGTCAAAACCATCCAAGGGGGGCAACCAATTTAAATCCCTATTCAAAAAATGGACAAGCACCGTGAAGAGAACCAGGAACAAGGCAAGGATTCTGCGGATTGCCTTGGAACAGCCCAAAAAGTGGCCATGGGCCAAACACGAGCAAACACGAGGGGCACTTTTTTGGGGAGCAGGGAAACCGCCCAAGAAACAAAAGGGGGACCAATAAATCGTCACCACGCGAGGGCTGGGTTAATTACTCTGTCTGTACCTTCATCATTCTCTTCGGGGACCCTTCTCTTCAACAAACAGGCCAACCCCCTGGAAAAATGGGGTGGTGTCTAAAGAGAACGATGGATGAAGAGAATGGGGAAGCAAACAGCGAGTCCTGCTTGGCATGAGCCCAATAAACCGCATCTCACACAGTTTTAAATCCCCCAAAAAAAGGCCATAGGGGCCTCTCTTCTTTGAGGGGACCCCCCCACATGAGTGGTGTTTCCCTGCAAGTTTCCCTTTAAAACGCATTAACATGAGTGGTTTTCCTCATGTCTTCCTACGAGTGGTGTTTTCCTCTGAGTTCCCTTTAAATGAGTAGTTTCCTTCCGGGTTCCCCTCTCAACCCCCCCCAACCAACTGAGTGACGTTCCGTCGGCCGAAAGGCACGGCCACTGCGCCGCTCCTCCGGGCCGAGGCCCAGCAGCGCTGCGTTGATCTGGTGGAAGGTCCGCAGCACCTCCGCGCGCAGCCCCCGACCAGTGAGGAGGGCAACACCAAGAACATCCGGCGACGCCCCTGGGCAGGAAAATAGGGGAACTGAGGTTCACCCGAGAAAGCCACAAAACATAAACCCGGAACATATATATATATATATATTCCTGGTTGATCAATAGAGGTAAAGAAACCCGAGATTTCCTCATAAACACCCGGTTGGTTTTGACGAGGGGTGTTTTGTTGGGGAACACTCCCCAGTGGAAAGGGCTTAATAACTACTCCGGGGTCGACTTTGGAAAGGACACAATACACGCTAGGCACCAATTGGTATGTGCTTTGCCACAGCATCTTAAATAATTTTGTCTGCCCAAACTGGTACGCAATGAAATTTGCCCATCCACTTTTGGTTGGTTGGATCCACCAACGAAAATGAATGGAAGCATTTCTTGATTAGTGGGGAACCCATACAACCAAAGGGGAAAAGGGTGCTGAACAAAGGGATGCCAATCAACGACTACATCACCCCAAACGAGTTTCCTGAACCCAATAGGTCCCATTCTGGGCCCAAAGGGGGTCACAAAGGCCGAATTGTCCTGGAAATGGGGAGAGAAACATCATTCAAACCCATGGATGGGGGGGGCTTGGCTTGCCCTAACATGGGTAACCCCGGAACACCACCATTCTTAGAGGCAGCTCCTTTGCCTTTTTGGGTTCCATGTGAGTCATAGTCAAAACCCGGTAGTAAAATGGCCTACCCAGAAACCATGTGAATATTTATGAAGGCGGCCGCAGCTATTTATAGTTGGGATTGTCCCTGACTAACCTTCATCTCTCTCTCTCTCTCTCCCTCTCTCTCTCTCTCTCTCTCTCTCTCTCTCTCTCTCTCTCTCTCTCTCTCTCTCTCTCTCTCTCTCTCTCTCTCTCCAGCATCGTCGAGCAGGTCTCGCTCGTCCCAGATCGGTTTTGAGCACGTGGCTCATCTGAATTTGTAGCGGACGCTACACCCATGGCTGTGGTTTGTTCTCGCTCGCTCGGGCAGCCGCCCCGCGGGTGACCTCGCCGTCGGAGCCCTGGCGCTGACTTGGCGCTGTAACCGCGACCGTTTTCGCGCGCGACGGACGCCCCAAAATTATGCAGGGGGAACAAGGGAACACTGTGATTTATCCTAGTTGTCAAGTGTTCAGGGGTCTTATTTGCAAGAACAAATATGCCAGTGATTGGCTCACTTGCGATATTCCGGGCATCCGCCGCTCATTGACGGGTTCCCCAAGTGATTTGTTTGGTGCGTGGTAGCTCTTTGTGCAACTAGTAACAAAGGTAAACATGCAGGGGCCATGCCGCCTGGGGATTCACTTCCCATGAGAGATGCGTCCAAAGCCAGATTGTGGTAGCCCAAAATAGATGGTTCTCTTGTTCGTTCCCCAAACAAACCAACCCAAAAAAGGGGTGCCCTCGAAAAAAACACCTTACCCATTTCGGTCATCGGCCCCCTTTTGGCTCCGTTGGAGGCTCGGACCCTGCGACGAATCAACCCATCCAAGTCGCCTCCGCGCAAAGCAGGAAGATCCGGCCGTAGCGCTCGAAGCGGCAGTCCAGGCCTCTCCGAGTCTCCGGTTAAAACGGCCAAGCTGGGAGGAACAAATGTGACAAGCTGCGGATGGACGAAGCGCACCGTTCAGAATCCCAACGGAATGTTTTGATTCCCCAACGTACAGGCCAACAAACAACTGGTTTCAACCATGGTTTCTTAGGCGGTGCGAACGGATTTCGTCCATGCACAGTATGTCCAGTAGTGATGGTTCCTTTCAAACCAATAGGGGGAAATAAGAAAATATTCCCAAGCAAGGGAAAGGGGCTCTTGCAAGGGTTCTGGAAGCAATTGTGGTTGGTAGGAGGGCCGCAACGATTATCGATGCATCATGATTTCTCACGGGATTGAATTTCGAGCCTCTGCAATTATGATACACCTTGAGATTCACAAACTGGGTGCTGAATAGACTTACAAGGCGAGCAAAGCACCAACAAGTCTGCCGCGGGTTCACGAATGTAGGTGGGGCTGGAACGCTGACCACCAAAGGCTCGTCATCCGGATCTTCCAGCCCATCCTGAGACCGAGCTGCATGAACTTGCTTGGCGCCGGCCTGTAACCTCACCACGTCATGGCGGGCCTGATTGTTTTCTGACCTGTCCAAGTTTTTTTTGACCTGGTTGCAGCTGGGGTCACGTCAAATAAAACCCCCGCAGGTAAAAACAACAAAAAAACCAGTCCATGCAATGGCAGCTCCAAGGGAAACTACCGGGTGCCCCAAAGACGATGTGAGCAACCGCTGGGATCCTGTCGAATCGCTAAGGAGCTACATCTCCCTGCAAGTGAATGAAGGGAAACCAACAATCTTGGGTAGTTTTTAAAGAGGAATTTCCCTGCGTAAATTGAAAATACTACATCCAACCAATGGGTCTACTACCAGGATCATCTTTCCACCAAGTTTCAGATAAAGCCTCATGATCACAAATGCCAGCGCATGCCTGTTCTTTGCCACCCGCTGCTACAAACTGCAACCATACACATTCATTCATATCCTCAGTATTGCTATCATTGTGATCATTGTTAGTTTGATGTCCGTGACGAGAACGATGATCAATTACAATCACAGTGGCAGTGGGGCGTGATAGGGCCAGCTGACGGTGGTGACATGATGATGATGATGATGATGATGATGATGATGATGATGATGATGAGGAGGAGGAGGAGGAGGAGGAGGAGGATGGGGATGGAGCTGAGGATGAGGATGGCGAGGATAAGGATGAAAGTGAGGATGCTAATGAGGATGATGATGCTGAGCAGGAGGAGGAGGAGGAGGAGGAGGAGGAGGAGGACGAGGATGCTCTCAACAAATGAGGGTGCACAAACCATGAGTGGTGTTGCTTGTGAATGACCTTCGGGCAACCCTGAAAACGACCATCCTAAAGAAGAATACCTAGACACACATCGCGGAGAAAAAAAAAACAACCGCAAAGCTCAGGCTCAGCAACCGCCTCAAGAGTTGGGCAGGGGACGGGGAGCTTGAGGTTTGCCATGCTGTGCGGCTTATCTTCTCTTATCCCACCACCCCGCTGTCCAAACCTGGTACGCTGGCGGGGGAAACTTTGTGCATTGCGCTGCGGCGCCCTGCTAGCCATGAACATGTTCGAGTTACAACCAAAGGACTAAGCACACATGCCTTGAAAACAGTGAGGCCAGGGGTCCCACTCCAAGGCTAGAAAGTTGAACTCACTGCCGCAACCGAAGGTCTCCTTCCTCCCACTCACAAAGCCGCAGTGGGAGGGTACTTGAAAAATATGATTGCTTGAAGGGACGTTCTGCCAGGTGCCAAGGAACAATGGCCGAACTACTAGAAACCGACTACCAAGGCTACCCAACACGGCTACAATGGTTGTCGTCCTCAGCAGGGCCCACCACCAAAGAATCCCTGGATTTGTGATTCTCTTGTAAATACCAACGGACAATGGTTTCCCATATTTTCAAAGCTGGTGCAACATGGATTCCGCAAGCATCCACAGTATACATCATAGGGGAAATCACATCCCCTGCGGATGCAAAAACAGATGTGAGATAGTTCTTTGACTCTCCTTCCATTTTCTTAAGCTCCCTAAGAACAACATATGTCCAGAAAAAAAGTCCAGTGAAAGATCCATTCCCTGTAAACCACCAGGGGAAAATTCAACACCTTCAGCAAACAGTGACACTCAGCCCACAAAAACAAAATCCGCCGCTCCGAGCCGCCTCCCTTGGCGCCCACCGGTGCCGTGGCCGCCAACTGCTGCGCGAGCGCCTGTCGAGGAGTCTTAGCTGACACTCGTGCCAAAGCGTGGTGATGCTTCCAGCTTCAAAAACGGAGAGTTCCCATAATGCGGGGTGGTTTTCCAGAGAACTTTCCGGGGGGAAAAGCGAACAGCCGTAAAAAAAAAAAACACTTGACCGATGGAAAAGAACAAATGACATGCGTCCAAAGGGACCCCCAACATGGTCCATGGTGGTTGCCCCGGCGCTGTTGAAACCAAAAGCTGCTTGAGGAAGCCAAAAGCAATTGCCGTAAGCTTGGCCACACTCATGGTAGAACCCGTGCAAGAAATCCACGGTGTGCCCTTTGGGCACCCTTGTCATGCCACGCGAGAAAGCAAAAAGACACGGTAGGTCGCGGTAGTCTTCCGAACTTCCGGAGTTCGGCAGCAAAGGAACCTCTTCGGTCTGCATTGTGGCTTCCCAGCGAAGCGTAACCCGTTTTGGGGTACCATCAAAGCATATACCCCGAGAAAACTCCCTGGCAATTTCAAGCATTTCGCTTTAAGTGAGTTTACGCTTGTCAACCAGGTTTGCTCTTGACATACGGGGTCTGAAAAGACACAAATGACAAATCCGGTCCTTGGGCGGTACCAGGGTCCAAAAAGGAACCGGCCACCTTTTTGACCCCAATATAGAGTCATATAGTCGTTATTCAGCACCCAGGCTTTGTGCTTTAGGGCCCCTTCGATCTTTGTGGCTTTCGAACGATCTCGTAAGATGGGGGTCGGTAGATGGTTTGGCCAATGCTTCTTTATCCTTGGCCAAAATAGACCACCTGTAAAAAGCTACTTGAAGAGAACTGATGGAAGCCAAAAAGGCACAAGGTTCAAAGGCAAGCTGAGCCTGGCAATCAAGCAGCCACTAAGAAGCGTGTGGGGAGGCTTGGTTGGAAGGCGCCTTGTTTCGACGCTACCCCCAGGGTGGCTTTAGGATGTGCAAATCCTTGGATCGCCTTCTTGCCTGATTTCCCAAACAACCTGTATGGTAGCAAACACGTTGTTTGTTGGCCGCTCCCAGAACAAAACTTACCTACTGTGGATGGCCGAAATCCATTTCGCACCACGTTTTTCAACCATGGGATCATCCTTCCAGGGGTTCTTAGTGCATGATTGCGTCCGTCAGAATCTGCTCCAAACTTTTGCCAGCCCTCGCCTCCGCGTCGGCTGAGGCCAGCAGCCGCTGCTCGTCCTAAAACTGATGGACCTACCACCCTGTGTGTCTTTTCTTTAGGGCACCCCCCTGGCCGGACGGTTTGTGGCACCCCCCGCCAAAACCAAAAAAACATGGTGGCTTTCCTGTTGGCGCCCTTCGAATCAACCAACAAGGGCACCCTTCAAAGAGAAACACCCCTTTCAGGGCAATTTCAGGGATGGGCCTTGGAGGCCAGGGTAGCAAATGAAGCTAAGGCAGTATTGCCCCCTCCAAAACCTATCCCTGAAAAAGCCCTTCGATTTAAGGCCCACTCAGAAGGGGTTGCCTCCCCCCCTCGAAGTCAACGGATAAAGGAACCTCTAACAGGTGGGTCTTGAATCGGTGGTTTGCAGGTGTTTCGGAGGGTTTCTCACTTACCCTACAAAACCACCAGGGTTCAAATCCCCAAACCCCAAATGAAGCCCCACGCAGAACTGTAACATGTTGGATTGGTGTATGCCAGTGTATGCCAGGCCGAGAAGGGCTGGGCCGAACAGTTCATTGATGTGAACTTTCGTTAATGGAGACATTGTGACAACTCCAGCTCTTGAGTGAATCATAAAGCTTCAACTTGGAAATCCATGGAAATCCTGTTCCAAAGTTTGCAGATCCGTTGGCACGCTCGTCACTGCGTGCCGCGGTGCTACATCGCTCGCATCCACTGCGGTACTCGTACTTGCAGTCACAGACTTTGCATGGCCCCCACCACCGACCATCCCAGCTAGTTCCACGCAGCCGCCCAAAAGGGCCTTACGATCGCGCGGTGCATGCGGTTCGCACAAATGAACGAAGGAAGCCTGCAGAAGAGTCTGCGATGTGGCCGTCAAATGAGAAAGCCTATATAATATACAAAGGCTGGCCGAGCAACGCATCGCATTTTCAATGTAGACTACATCCGACTACCACTGTTTTCCACAGTGGTAGTCATGGCAGCTCCAAAAGCATGTGCTAAAAACCACCGTCGGCAACTCAGAGTTTTCTGAGAAGTGAGAGTCACAAGCACCAGCAGGACATTCTACAGGAAATTGGCCTGCCCAACAAAGGCCAGGATTTCCTGTGGAACTTCCGGCAGCTGGTTCTTAGATACAAAGGTGGCGTTACTGGAGAGTTGGCCAATCCTACTCCATGATTCTTGTTGGACAACCACTGCAAAGGGGGAAATATCCAGTTGCAACCCAAGCCTTGCAGATTGCCTCTGAGCTGCCCAGTTCAAACCAATTGAGTAATGATCATAAAAAGTTAGTGTGCGAAAGCATCCAGCCCCGTGTACGATATATGTCGCTGAATGAGGGGATTCCAAGGGGCAACAACAAGCCTCACTTTCCAGTTTCTGGAGTTCGCTTGGTTTGTTGAGAAGGGCATGCTAGCGAGTAAACCAAAAACGGTCCGGACATGTTTCAACCAATCCGGTCAGAGAGGAATGGGTGGTTTCTAAAGGGAACGGTCAAGAGAATGGGGAATCAAACAGCGAGGTGCCGGCCCGCGTCTCCTCCTCTGCCTCCTGCTGGCTGCGCCGCCATGGCCCTAAGGCCTCGGCCCGCTTGGATCCGAGGCGCACTCGTTGGTGGGGCCGTTTTTGCGGAAACTCGGAGTGGTGGGGGCTTGGGGGGGTTTGGGGGGGTTTGGGGGGGTTTGGGGGCGTTTGGGGGGGTTTGGGGGGGGTTGGGGGGGTGGGGGGGTTTGGGGGGGTTTGGGAGGGGGTTTGGGGGGGGTTTGGGAGGGGGTTTGGGTGGTTTGGGGGGGGTTTGGGGGGGTTTGGGGAAGGGATGCAAGTTTGAAGGGATGTTGGTTTTGCTACACCAATACTGTGAGCTTTGGGGGGGAGGGTCCTGACAGGGAGTCTAGAACTCACTTCCGAACGAGATCAGCCAAACAGCCTCCAAACTTTTGGTTTAACGCTTGGTCCCAAAATTTCAAAGTCCAGGAGCTCAGGAAGTGAGACAACCTCTTCGATGCAAGGTTTAATTCACTACTGGGCTTGTAGAATTTACAGGTCGAAATGACTTGAGAATTGATGAAGAGCGCCCCAAAAAGCTACCTCAACACAACTGTCATGATGCTCGTTTGCTTGTCTGTGAGCTCGTGAGCTCGCCATGTTCTGCTGAGCTGCTGGGTTGACGAGAAAAGGTCAAACACGTGGCTGACGTCTTTGGTTGCCAAGGACAGTTAGCTGAATTGGGTGATGTATAGCTTGACTAAACGTCATGCAAACCAATGAGACGTTTCAGCAAGCGGCTCAAAGCCCCAAGGTGATTTGCTCGCCCTACTCAAAACCCGGGGATCGATCAACTCTGGTGTTCCTTTCGTGTCGCAGTTGGTCGATTGCTCCGTGCCTTTTACGCCAATCTTGGGCTTTGCCGCAGGCTCTTTCTCCCCCAGGCCCAGTTGCCCTCATTGTTGGGGGGCACACGCCAAAACAGAGGCAAAAAGGCTGCAATCGTTCAGTTACTGAACGAGAAAAGGCCCCGAGTGCAGGGGAAGCTTGAGGGCACCAACCTCAGGCTTTGCCACCTAAAGAAAAACTTTCCAACTCATCAAGGCGTTACTCACTTCCCGAGTGGATTTACCAAACAAATGTCTACACTTTTCGATTTGCCACTAAAATGATCTTCGCGATTTCTCGTGCCTAAGTCCGTGAACTCTGAGTTGTATGTCCTACATGTAAATCGCTCAGTTGTTTGGGGGGGATTCCAGTGGGTGTTTTGCTGTGAACTCAGGGAGTTGATGAGTTCCCAGTGCTGTTGCCTGCCCAACGCTCCGATCGCTCCGGCGCCCGGCGTCGCCCACTTTGGCTCTGCAAGGCTTCGCCTTCGGCGCCCACTTCGTGGGTGAAGCCGTGGGAGACTCAGCGCGCGATTGGCGAGACTCACTTGCCCCTTAGGGACCTGGGGACCTGGAAGACAAGGCTGACCTTTTTGCGGCCTTTACCACAGACCAATGGGAAAACCAAAAGATGAAAAGGTCGGCTTGAAACAACCAAAAAACTGCAATTTGAACCGCATGAAGGCAGCCGGTATGGCGTGGACGGTTTGTGCCGAGGGTTGCTCCGCATAATTGCGGGACTTGCCTTTCCTCTGTGAATGCCTGCAGACATGGCCCGAAGAACCAATTGGGCATGTCCTTCTGAGGGGACCCTTTATTGTTCGACCGAAAACCACATGCAGATTGGTCACTTGTTGGGATCCCCCCCTTTCACAAGCTCAATTCGCAGGTCTTGGGCCGGTCTCCTTAAAGGAAACCACCAGTTGGATGGTTTATAGGGGTCATCCCCTCATTCCCTGCCCAGCGGCACCAGCAAGATGAGATTTAAAAGTAAAAACAATAACAAACAAACAAAACAAAACAAAACGGGCGGACGAAAATTAAAGCCAGTGCCCTTGGCACTTGGTATGGTGGGCTTGCATGGAGCATCACATGCTGTTCAAGGGTGTCGGGAACCCAAATGCTAACATAATAGAAAGGCAGGAAATGTTTAAAGTGACAAAGTAGTGATGGCACATTTTGCGAACAAAGGGAGGCGTTCTACAACTATACGCTTGCGGCTCAGCTTGGGGAGGAACTCAGCACATAAGCAACACCCCTCGTGAAGGCTACCTTTAAGGAGACACAGAAATATCTGTTGAAGGCGACACCCCCAAACTGGGTGTTCTTTCGATTTCCGATCAACAACCCAAAAGTACCGCGCCTCACCAATACAGTATGGAGCTGCTTTTGGCTCTGGAGGTCAGACGTTGCACCAGCGCAGATCGCCAACCGACCGCCCACTGCTCATGAAACTGTGCCCTTTGATCCTCCCAAATGAAACCAACAGGGCCCTGTTTGCCAGAAAAGGGCGTTCAACTTTTTAAATAGGATGCAAACTGCAAGTCGCAACCGAAGCCCAGAATCAATCTGCACTAGTTTTGACTCACCAAACTGAATCGCGCCATCATGGTAAACCTCAATCAAATCGTTTGTTCTGCCCGAACTCGTTAGAATCGCCCGCCAGTGGCGCCAGTGAAAGGAAGCCGCTCACCAACATTCAGCTTCCCCCTTGGTTCTTTTGGAAACCACCAACTAAAGGTTATATAAGAGAAAGGGCTAGCATCTTGACTTAAGGTTTTGGGACATGACCTGACACAAGCCCCAAGGAGTACCCCCCCCAAAACCAATCCAAAACACCCAGTGACTGGCAACCTAAACCACGAATTGAGACCACCAAGGCCCGGACCGTGGCCGCGGCCGCGGCGGTTGGACTCAGCGTCTTGGCACTGAAAACCTCGGTAGAGCACCACTTTTCCATTTCTTTTGTCCGCCTGAAAACAAGGGACCGGACGCCAAAGAGAGATGAGAGATGTTGAGGAATGTTTTAGGGATATTGGGGATATTAAGAAGGGATATGGGGGATGTATGTTGGGGAATAGTTAAGGGATATTAAAACGTATTCAGAGACAATAAACAATCTGAAAGGGATGTTGAGGAAAGTCTGAAGCAAGAGGTTGATGACCCGGACAATCAAAGTAGGGAGTTTTGAAAAGGGCACGCGCGTACAGCCCCTCTTTTACGAGGCACAATTTGGAATAGGGCCCCCTCTACAAATTAAGTGGAACACCCAAATGGGTATTTCTAATGGGCAGCATACCACGGGACCAAAAGAAGCACCCTACCCTCGGAACCCTCCCTGAAATTTTCAGCTGCCCCAGAGCCTACCCCAGAGCCTATCTGGGCAAAGACCCCAGAGGTTGCAGCTGGGTCAAGAAACCGAAGAACATTTCAGCAAATGGACGTTCATATTCTCCTGATGGGTGTGGCTATTGAAGGCTCGGTGAACAAACTTCTGACTTAGACCACTGTCTACCCGAGTCCGATTGAATACCGCTACCCCAGACAGTGGTCGTCCATGGGAAAAGGCACTCTCCTTTTGGCTGACTTGAAAGGGAAGCCCCCAAAAAAGGGAAAACTGGCAGCGGGCAGGAGGGAGCGGCCAGCCAGAAAAACCAATGTTCAGCTCGCATGGCCCTTAGGACCCGGCATTGCCTTCCAGCATCTCCTCCGTATTTTGCCAATGTGTCTGATGCACCTCGGCCACTTATCGAGTCTCGTTCTCTCGGCTTGGCAAATTCAAGCTGCCCAGCCCAGTGAAGTTTCAGGGCAAGAGCGCACGTCTTTTTCTGAGACCCCCAGTGGCCATGGGGAACAAGGGCACCTCTTGGCCGTGTCAACGAACACTGGAGGTCTGGTATTTTGGAGCCCGGCTTTGATGCAAGCGCTTGCTTTTCGATGGCCAGCTGGAAAATGATGTTTGGATCCTCAACTCAGACTAGCTCTCCTCTCCTGCTATGATGCCTTCATACTAATATGCGCAAAGGATCACTGCGATGCTGCTGTTTGCCTGTTGGCCGGCTGAAAAGAGGTGAAACTGGGTGTCATGCTTGTCAAAAAATGAGACTGGAAACCCGAGAGGTGAAGTCACGAAAGGCGAGCCCCAACAAAGGCAATGCGCTAACAAAGGCAAAACCCAACTCAAGCAGAAAGCGAAATCAGTTCGAACATTCCTTCTTTCAAAGGCAAGCCTCTTTCCCTCTTTCCCGCCCGCATGTCCCCAAACCCCATGCATATCCTACAGATGTTGTACGGCCAAAAAGGCGGCAGACAGCCACAACAAAGGGAAGCCTACAATTTCTTGGATTTCCCCTTTGAGCAGCACCCAGAACCCAGCGACTCTTGCTTTCAATCTAGATAGCCAAAGCTACCTACCTCAGCTTTTGCACTCAACCAAAAAACGTATGTTTGATCCTGGTCCATGTTTAGTGAACCTCACTTCACAAAATGTAGTCTGACTTCAAGAGATAGCACAGAAAATGGCGAAGGGGCCAGTTAGGTTTCGGCCGGGTCGGAGCGATGGGGCGCCTTCTCCTCCTCAATCTGGATCTCCAGGTGCAGTGGCACCTGTCGTTTTGGCATCTCCAGAAACGTTTTTTCGCGCTTCCGAACGAGTGGATTGGCAAAAAAAGAGGTCCAAGCTCGTTGGTTGCCACTAAAATTGTCTTCCCAAAAAAGTTTAAAGTCCGGGAACTCAGGACGTGAGTTGTGCCCTCATGGACCAAATCCGATTCGCACCAGGTTGATGGCTTGGGTTGTTAGAACAAAACATTCCAATTGGTGCGAGTCGGATTTTGTCCACGGCATGGATGCCTACCCACAACAGGAAAAACACAACATCATCATCATCATCATCATCATCAACAACAACAACAACAACAACAACAACAACAACAACAACAACAACAACAACAACAACAACAACAACAACAACAACAACAACAGCAGCAGCAACAACAACAACAACAACAACAACAACAACAACAACAACAACAACAACAACAACAACAACAACAACAACAACAACAACAACAACAACAACAACAACAACAACAACAACAACAACAACAACAACAACAACAACAACAACAACAACAACAACAACAACAACAACAACAACAACAACAACAACAACAACAACAACAACAACACAACCTCTCCAAAACCCGTGACTGAAAAGTCCGCAAGCAAGACTAACAATACGTGAACCACATGTAACCGCTTGGCTTCTTGGGGCTATAAACCTCCTGAACGGGGTTGATACTGGGTCACACACCGACTTGAACGCGGTCGCTTGCCATGTGAAGTCCAGTTGCCTCCGACGAAATCAAATTGGGGCTCGCCAACTTTAGGTCCCGAAGCCACCAAAAAGAAGAGGGGACTTCGAGGGTGCCGCTGAACTGATGAAAGCCTTCCAACATGTAAAAGCTTGCTTGGCTCTCCTTTCTCTGGGCGAAGTGGGAAAAAAACAGTTCCACTTGGCTGTCCGTTTCCAGGTTTGTAGGACATAGGGTGCTGAGGCAAGCACAGTGCCCGCCAGCCAAATATAACATATACCTGGGTCTTCTAACATGTGCAAAATTATTGCTGTTTGTCCAAAACTTTTTTTTTGACCCAATGGCGATTATTTTCGCCTGCCGGCAGCTTTCAGTGTTTGCACACTCTAGCATCCATCAAAGTTGCAAAACGGCGTAATGTGCCGTCAACATGGCGTAATTTGCCGGCGAACCAGTTTTTTTTGCCTGGTCACGAGCTGGACTCACGGAGAGCGCTTTTTCTCAGAAAGAGAGCTTTTTTGTTCGGCAACCGGCAACACATAGTGTAACATAGTGCCGTGTTGGGAAACGGCGTTAATTTTTACATGTCGGAAGGTCCAAATATAGACCACCAGTGCTTCAACCCGTGTCAGGTTGGCATGTTTACCCAACTCTCATGCACTGTGGTTTTCCAAGCCTTGGCATGGCAGACAATGACAACTTTGTTTTTGCAGCCCACTACTAAAGACGACCAGAACCCACAAACCAAAAGAACTAAGTGCTTGATTCAACAACACTGAAGGTTTCCCAGTCGCTTTTGTGAAGGTGTCTTTCAACTTGTAGCCCAGCTGTGCGAGCCGAATGGAGAAAGGGAACCATCTTTTGGAGTACGCTGTGGCGGCTGGGGGAAAGGACACCCCCGAGACGTGACTTTGAGAGCCCAACAGGATTTCAGAACTTCAGGCCTGACTTCAAGGAGAAAAGGAGAAGCGGGTTGTCCCTGAAAAACTCTGCCAGGACGGACGGCAGCAGCGGGATGTCAACACAAGGGAATCCACTACCATCTGGCATAAGAATCTGACATTTTACCAGGATTCCAAATTGAATAATTCAAGTACCTTCATGGGCATCTGGCAGAAGAATCTGACATTCTATTAGCATTCCAAATTGACATACGGGAACTCCCCAAATAATTCAAGCGCCTTCGCGACATTTTGCCTCGCTTCACCCCCCCCGAAGCAGTAATCTCTCCCAAACGGCCCGACGGAGGCGCACCGGAACGGCCAACGCTGCACGCAGTGTGCATACCTGGGCCGCAGCGCACGCTCGCAAGGAGTGAGAGGTGTCCGCATAATGGTGCACATGAAGGTGCGGGTGTCCTTTTTGGGTTGTGCGAAAGGGAAGCCACAAGGAAACAACGCATTAATTATTTTAATCATTTTGAAGACAGACCTATGTCTACAGCTGTTCACGCCTTCAAAGTCCAATGTTCACTAAGTCATCGCGTGTGCTTGCACTTGTATGTTTGTTGTCCAATCGGTATTTGCTCATCATCGCCATGGCCCTTCAAACAAACCAACCGGAGATAAATCACGAATCACCCCACACACACATACATGAAGGCATCGAGAAACGTGCCACTTACACCTACTTGCTGTTTCAGCCTCTGTGCGGCAATCTATTATCGAAGGGATTTTCCTGTATCCCGAAGACCGGTACCCCCAGTTGTAAGCTTGTTTGGAGACCCTTAGGCCTTACAAGACACGGGACACTGCGGAAAACCAGGCTTTTTCAGCATCGCTTGACCTGCTTTGACAAAGGTTGGGCCAGCACACCTATAGTCGAAGTGGGTGCCTACCTAGCTGCAACATAGGAGCTGGACAACCTAGGGAACTTGTCTTAGGGGCACAATTGCGCATTTCACATGCCCAACCTCGAAATACTGGGTTCACCCTTTTGGGGGGAAAACCCTTTTGTGGCCATGACTCAATTTTCATGAAACCCAAAGTGGGAAGGCCTAAAGGTCAGATCGTTTAGGTCGGATCGTGGCCATTGAGACACCTCACGCATTTAGCAATTCGCACCAGCCCGTCTCAGGCTTTGGCCGTGCCGAGGGAGTGGTAGTTGGTGGTATCCTCGCGCTTGTCGAGGCCTGGCTTTGCAAAAGGTCCCTGGGTTGCAACCCTTTTCAAGGCTCAGGGTTTCCCTTTGATACTTTTGTCGGAAACTCCTTTTGACTAGTAAGCAGCCCAAAGGCAAACCACAATTCGTGGGTTCCTGATTGGTTTTGTTCCTCCGCTTAAACTAAACATCCCCCGAAAGCGGCCAACGTAAAGCGAGCTGCTTGGGGTGGGATGATTGCAAGCAATGCGCTGCGAGGATCCTGTCACTTTGGTCCCCGGTACAAAATGAAGCTACAGGAAACCTCAACCCAAGTTCCTATGGAGGATGGGCCGTTGCCGGATGCCCTACAAGAGGATCATAGGGACAGCAAAGACATCAAAGAGTTGGGCCCCCAATTTTCCAACCAAAATGAACCCTCCCAAGGCTAAGAGTCGCTTCACTTCACAAACAACACACAATTGGGGGAGCCCTCGCAAGCGAATGACAAATGATCCAGACCTCCAGAAGACTTCCAGGGAAGTCGAGGAACCAAACCCTTCCCCCGCCCCCCCGGCCTTCTCTCCGTGCCATCTTCTGCCGACCTTCAGGGTCGGCAAGAGAGGGCTAGCCCCAGCAAAATGGAGGGCCTCAAAATCGGGCTTTATTTATTTGTTGGTTTCCCAAAGGGGCCCCTTAATAGACCCAACGTGTTAGGCACAAGGCGTTCATTGCGGACCGCTGCTTAGTGAAATAAAATGACCCGAAACGTGCTAGGTGTGCAGCAGGGTGTCTGGAAGAATTAAAAAATATCCATGCCCTGCAGGTTTCCTTGGGGTAAATTGAACACTTTTCGGGCTACAAGCACTGAGTTTCGAATCTCAGAAAAACAATCTGAAAGCAAACCCGTGCAACCACTGGCCGAAGCCATTGCCATTCCACCAAAAGGTGTTGAGGACCCAAGGCCTACAGCCGGGCGGTTTTACACCAGCTCGACCCATTCACCGGGTTTAGGTGGGTTGGATAGGAACTTCCAGGATCAACCTGGTTGTTCTGTGGGTGGGGTTCCCAGTTTAGAGAGGACCCCCCGCCTTTCTTTTCAGAAATACATCCCCGCGGGTTGCAAATGGCCAGAGTCGGACGCAAGGTGAATTCGCGGAATCTGGAGGGAATGATCCTTCGGCCAACCCTTGACCGCATCTGGGTTCAGTAGCGAATAAATTTCCAAGCTAGGATCCTGCTAGCAAAATAATTGCCTTTTATGTGTTGACCATTGGACCATTGCAACAAAAGTGCGGAAGGCACCAAACAAACGTTTGTTCTTCTCAGGCGACATCCGCTGAACAACTCGGAACTTGCCACTGGGGAATTGCAGGACAACCTTGTGGCCAACCGTTTCTCACCGTCCCCAAAGCACCTGGAAACAACAGGTTATCCGTTTGGGGGCCATGGCTAAACATGGACCAAACAGCGCAAAACCAAGAGGTCAAAAGGTCGACTTTGGGCAAGTGAGTTGTGGCTGGTCCCTTGCAGATGCTCAACCCCCTAGACGTTGTGAGGGAGCCATCCCTCTTTTGCCCCCTGCGTGCATCTATAAATCCATTAAATTAGAGTTGAAATGGGTGTCTTTTTGAGGGTACCCTTGCTAGTTGGTTCTGCAGGTTAACTGAAGGGAAAAGCACAATTTTGGGGAGGCCCCCACCAAATTGCAGTAGGGGCACAAAGTTCAGGGATCCAAAGGCATCTCGCTGCCTGCCGTGGTCGCTGCCCATTGCTCCGAGGAAAGAAACCCACTGGCCGATGTCAAAAAGAACACGACGCGAGAAGCAAGCCACGACAGGCTGCACTTCAAGCCACTGGGAAGCTCCAAACAGCCCCTCACAACAAAAACACTTGACAACCCCCCCCTAGTTTGGCTCATGGGAAAACCACCCAGCAGCCCCACTTCGCCGCCATTCGGCGCCTTCGTCGTCCAGCAGCCCGGAGGCGTGAAGGCTATCTCCACCTCGCGGCTCGCGAGCCGAGCCCAGCTCGGCTCGGCTCACGGGGCCCGCTGGCCCAGATCTGGGGTACACAGAAGCGGGGGATGGTCGCGAAATCCATTCCGCACGACCTTGCAACTCTGAAAAGCACCTGCCTGTTGGATTTTGCAGGGGAATCCAATCATTCCATTCTTAGGTGGTGCAAGATTTCGTCCATCCACAGTATAGGTCTGTCCTTAGCATGCCTTCCCTTTGATGCAAGCTGGAACCAGCGTGCTAGAGCCCGTTTAGTGTCTCTTGCCAAAGGACGTGGAAAGAAAAGGAGAAAGGACACCAGCTGGAAAGGAGGTCAGATTTGAACAAGTAAGGTTGCTCCCGTTCATCCCCTGGCCATGTGAATCAAAGTGCCGGATCTTGGACGCCAGGTCATTCTTCTATTGGCTGGCTCCGAATGAGTTCTAACGAATTGCTTCTTTCGGATGCTACGCACATGATTGTCCTATGCAAGCTGGACCGTTTATTAGACCCCGCGTGGTCTCCTACAGCATTGCTCCCATTGGACCGAATCCTCCAGAGGGAGCGCCTTAAGAACATGGAAGCGGCTCGCCAGCGGCTTCGCCCAAAAGCGAGCGCCATGTTGCCAGCCTCCACATGCTGTCTAGGTCCTCCAGAGGTTAGAATACTCAAGGTACCCTTTTTTCTGTAGTCTATTTTAGTTGGGGAACCCTCAAAAAAATGCCGGGTAAAAGGGCACTGCTGGCGAACCTAGCTGTGGTTCAGAAATGAAGCGCGCGTACCAACAAGACAGGAGGAAATTGCCGTTGGAGAATCTTCCTTGTTGAGTTCCTCGCGGCCCCAACCTCAGCCTTTTGTGTGGGTGGATTTGCTTTACCCCATGCAACCCAATTGCCCGGCGATCCCGCGCGGTAGGCCCTTTCGGGGGTTGACCATTTTTGAGTGCCTTAAGGCCTCCACCAGTTGCTTCGGAGGTCTGACTGCGTATGTTTTTTCGGGTGTGCAACCCACAAGACCACTGAACCACCAAAAATCTACTGACCCTTCCGGGCAAACAAAGCCCCGGTGAAATCGAGGACGTGCGCGGCCGGCTGCTGCGCGTCGGAAAGAACTGAGGCTGTGACTCAAAGCTTCAGCCTCGGCGGTTCCAAGCTTAGGACAGGCCTAAAAGCTGAAGATTGGGCTGTTGCAGGGGAGTAGGCCCTTCCATGGTTCGAGTCTTCACTGGAAAATGAAACTGGGCTGAGACTTGCTAAAAGTTGATTGAACTTGTGACATGGTCCAACCCAACCACTAAACCCTACGCTAAAAACAAACTTAAAAAAAAAAAAAAACAAATGAACCGGACAACTGGGAACGGCCAAGGATTCGTTCTATGGCCGCTGCTTCAAGCCTGGAAACGGGGCCCATTGCTCGAAGACCTGCGGATCGCATCTGCGCAATCGCACCATCCTGCGCTGACTCTGCCAATGAAAAGCACGAGATTGGTGCACTCGTATCCAGGTTCAACTTAAAGCCATCAAACACGTTTTCTGCAAAGGGATCTCAATTTGGAGGTCCCTTTTCTTGCTGAGCCTCAGCATGGAATGAGGGAATGACCCCTGTAACCATCCCCTATAGTTTCCTTTCAGAGAACCGCGGCTTCATTCCCAACACCCGGAAGGTCATTCCGACGTCTTGGCCCATTCCGCTGAGCTCTGAGGACGGGACACGGCGCTTCTTCTTGTTGCCCCGGCAAGGGCACACGTCCGAGCGCAACGCCAGCTCTAACCTGGCGAGGCCGTAAAGGGCTAAGCCAAAAGGGGGTCCTTTTTGTGGACCCACTCGAATTGTGGTTTTCATGTTAGCTTCCCTTTAAAACCAACCAAAAGGGCATCCCCTAGAAAAGGCACACCCAAATCTGTTTCCGCAACCGCCGTTTCGGAAGGGAGAAGCTTTTGTTCAAAGAGATTGATTGTCGCTTTTAAAAGGGGAAAGCCCAACCCTAGCTTGGCTGAAAACCTGGACCGTCCCGATTAGAAGCAAACAGCCACGGAGCGCACAACGCAACCCCGTCAAAGGCCCCTCAAGGTTGGTGCCCTTCACCCCTAAAACAAGAATTGGGAACCCTACAAGCAAAGGGGTCTACTTGAACACCTGACCAGCTTTCCTTTATCGCAAAGAAAAACTATTTCGCGACCCAGGAGAAAGATTAAACAATGCCTTTGAGCCCAGCTGTAGCCCCTTTTGGAGGTCCATGAAAACAAGAACAAAGCAACTCGCACAGCCCTCCGCTACAGTTGCTAGCAGTTTCCCTTGAACATATCCCCTGTACCTTTTCAGGGGGGTTGCGGGGGGGTTGGGGGTTTTCACTCAAACAAGTTGATGCATGGGAGGAAGTCCCCCCTACCCTGGGAATCCTACAAACCAACCACAAACAGATTTTGAGCTACTGGCGTTCCCGGTGCCCCTGGCTAACAAAAAATGGACGTGCCCTTTTCGGAAAATGCATCTCTTTATCCATTCTGCGACACGCTTTCCCCTCAATTGGGGACAAACTCACGTGGGCACAGAAAGATTAAACAAAACAAGAAGAAAAAGAAGAAGAAACAAAACAATCATCCAGGCATCAGCTGTACACTAGGACATTCTGGAGCCTGCCCTTTCACCTCTTCCCAGCTTCCCCCAAACCCCGCTAGAAAAAGAAAGCCTTTTTGTGACTCCCCATCTTTAGTGAGGACCCCCCCCCCCAAAGAAGAGGGGTGTCTTCTTTTGAGGGTACCTTTTCGGGGTAGTTTTAAGGGGAATGAAACCAAAGGAAACAAAATTTGAAGGCACGTCTGAAAAGGGAAAAAGGGCGCCACACAGCCGGGCTCCACCCTGCGACTCTGAAAGCATGGTTGCACACGTCCACGCGTTGAACTTTGAACAGGAGGGGGTATAGAGAAATACAAGTGATAAAACCAGAACCCACTGACCTTTGGCTTTCTCTTGGGAAATATTTGAACTAGGTCGCGGTTCCTTCTACATGGGCTGCAGGCACCTATTCAGTTTTACAAAACGATGGTCAAAAAGATGGTTGCCATCAAGCACCCAAACAACTGACCAATTGGACCCATGACGGCAGAAAACAGCTACAACTGAAGGTCAGATTGGTCCGATTCGCTCAAGTGAGTGGCTTGGAACCGGTTGTGTTGTCTCCTCCAAACCTGGGGGGTGGTGGGTTAAGGTCCCTTGGGTCAACTCGGGTTGTCTTCCTCAGAAACGCCGAACTGTCAGGGACCCCCACCCAAACCTCCTGTCGCCAGGGCAGAAAACAACATGGTGTTTTCCTCAGTGGCTTGATGTCAAAAGGGAAGCTCACCAAATCGAAAGAAGAAGGCACTGGAGGCTTGATCCAAACAAGCTCCAAGTGGCTGACCTCAGTGCCTCCTTCATGGCCCGTTTTCAATCCACGGTTTGGTGCAAAAAAACAGGCCGGTGTGCACGTCTCAGACCTCGCCCGGTGACTTTTCATTTGCGCGAGTTTGAGTGTCTCGAAATGGGGGACGCCGCGCAAGCCTTGGTTTTCCCAGTTCCTGAATGGATGGAACGAAACTTTTGCGCATTTTCTTACCGCCAACGTCATTTTCCAAAAACGAAAACACTAACACTAACACTAACAGTAACGTCATTTTCGCACTAACACTAACACTAACGTCAATTTCCTCTAAAACATCATGACGTCCAGGACATCGGGCAAGTGGTTTTGCAGACAAATCCATGCCTAGTGGTCCAGTGAGTCTCTGTGTTTAAGCGTGCATGGTCCCAAACCAAGCTTCTTGCGGCCATACGATGGCCAAAAGGTCTACCCTTCCAAGAGGATCATCCACTTTGTGGCTCTAGCAAAAAGCTCGCAGCAGAAAGTGGGAAAACACAAACACATGGGTGTGTCTCCTTTTAGGGAACCCAGAACATGGTGGTTTGCCGGTTGGCTCGCCTTGAGAACCACAAACATGGGGTACCTTAAAAAAACGACACACCCACGTTGCTCTAAAAAAACCTACCCCGGCCAGTTGTCTTCCGTGACTCTTTGAGGAAGAGTAGGGCCTGACGTTCGTGCAAATGCAGGAAGCCGCTTTGAATGTACTACACTGCGCTCTAAATATTGCAAGTGAAGGAACAAGGAAACCCTCTTGACCGTGATATGCCACGGTTTGGTGCTTAAGTACCCTTGGTCTAATGCTGGGACTCCTGGCGCCCTCCCTGGAAAACCTTGACATTTTCTAAACTCCCTATATTAATGCTTATGCATCAGAAGGAAACAATGTTTATGCCTCTTGGTGGTTTCTGCAAAGCAGTGTGGATCACCTGCGGGTCGAATTTCCAACTCCGTTTTATGTGGCAGGAGTGGCACGGTCAATTATCACCCTCTTTTAAATTTGGGGCTTTGGAGTGTGAAAATTCGACGGCAAATGACCCAGCAACAACTTGCAGGATTCTAGGGGGAAAGGGTTGTGTTTCCTGAGAAGGCCCGAGAGGCACAACTTTTGTCTTGGTAGTGTATCACGGAACTTTGCCGTGGATCCCCAAACGCACCACCACTCCCAAACGAACCTCCAAAAATGTGCCTTATGTCTTTCCAAACCGGGTGTGTTTCGCGGGGGCAGGGGGGTGTTTGGGGGGTCCCTTTCAGGTCTTTCTTGCAAGGCATAGAGAGGTTCGCAGAACTTTGCCGGGGGAGGGTAATTGCAACCACTGCTCTTAGAAACTTCCATTTGTTTACATCCCCTGGAAAGCTACAAATATTCCGGCAGCGATAGATTCACTTCCAAACCATGGGGGAATCAGACATACTCTTAAGCAACTGGAAGAGAAGATTGGGCTTCTGAGAAGCTTTGTGGTTGTCTAACGGTGCACCGGGGACCGCGCTGGAGCAAGGGCCCCAATGGAAACCGGGCCACACCTCGGCAAAGCCAGGGTCAAAAGCCTAGAAAATCATGCTGGATGAGTGCAGTGAGCACAAGCAAAGCCGTACCCGTACCGCTTCTATACCATGTAAGTGGGGTATATGTATGACCCGAAGGGTGAGCAGTCCAGTAAAACGGACCCTTCTGACATTTACTGGCAATACCTGGACAAACATCAATATTGTCCGCGCCCTGCGTGGCTGCACTTTGAGGGCAAGTAAATGGTACGTTTAATTCAGCACGCAAAAACAAAGAACGCTTATATAGCCCAAGAAGAGACAGCTTGCGCCCGACACGGCCACATACGGTGCCTAGGGCCTCGTTCTAATTAAGGTGATTTAGGGGCCTTTTTCTAAGGGCCCCCCTCCAACAAAACAGTGGCTTTCTTTTTGGTTCCGTGTTCAAATGCATCCCTTCCAGGGAATTGATGACCAGAAGTGCGAGCATGATAACTATTCCGCTAAAAACAACAACAACCAAACTTGCCACTTCTTGAACACAAGCCTGCACATGAAGCTAGAACAAAGGAGCCCTTAGCTTTGACAAAGCTCAGCCTGGCAAAAGAAGTTGCCAGCACATGCAGTGGAAGTCACATTTCAATGCCCAAACAGAAGTTACCCTGCACACCTGGAAGCGCCCACGCTCCCGTTCCTAGAGGAAATCTTCCAAACGGGGCCTGCGAATTTCCTCGTCTGGCGAGTTGGGGGCCGCCGCTTTTGAATGGTTCGGTTCCATCGGCGCAAACCAGCATTTGTTTACTGGGCTTACCTGGGTGCTAAATGGGCGACCACAAATTCACAATGCCATGCCGCTTTCCCTTGGGGCCATGGAAACATGATGTGCAGTTAAGCACCCAGCCTTCATCCGGGATGCGCTCGAATGTTTGGCCAGACGGCGGGCGTAGGAAAAACATGGGTATGGGCAGCTCAACTTGAAAGGATCTCCTGCAAAGGAAGAGCCGTCTTTTGCAACCCACGCAATCGCGCGATCATTTTGCAACACATCTACCCGCCCACCAAAAAAGGACAAGTACAAAACTTGCTGGTTCTCAGGGAATCAACAGGGGGGTTGGGAATGAACCTGGGGATGGTTTAAAGGATAGCACAAGGGATGGTTTCACGGTTCCAACTCGTTCCAAGAAACGGCGGCAACCGCTCGAGGTCTGCCTGGGAGAAACCACGTGACTCTCAGCTCCCTGCCGTGCCCGTGCACGGGCGCCTGCGTGATTGGAGCGCTTTCGTCCACCTCCGGCGTTCGACGGCCGGCATTGAGGATGACATGGAACATGGGTAGAGAAGCATAAGATGCTGGGAACCGCAGAAGTTGGAAGGGGTTGAAATGTGTCCAAGGGGTTTATGATTCGCCCCTGTTTGCCCTCTAACGAGTGTGGCTCCAAAGGCCATTTCAAACCCCAAACAAGGGTTTCCCCCAAACCCAAGCGCAGATTGGGCCCCTTTCCGATCTGCGATGTAATCCTGGGCAAAGGCCCTTCCGAGCGCATGCTTAATGCACTGCCACGGGCGGCGTTTTTTGGGGAGAGCCATCACCCATCAGCACCTTCAGCACTGATTTAGGGCTTATCTTGGGCTGAAACAGGGATAGCCCCCCATAGCCCCTGAAAAGGATCCGTGAAAACGGGAGTGCAAAAAGGCAGGACCCGGCCAAACAAAAAACACATCCTGGCCGAAACATTTCTCCAGGTCCCGCAATTTGGCATTTCTGGCCATCAGCTTCTCCCGCCTTCTTCTGCTTGGGGTCTCTGTCATGCACCTGACGCCAAGCCAACTTCCGGACCGGCAAATCCAAACCAGACCTGGTTGTGAAGGGGTGCCAGCTACGGGAGGGAAATCATCAAAACAACCAAAAAAGGAACCTCGGTAAATGGAAACTAGGACTCAAACCTGCGTGCGGTTCCCTGAATTTTGACCCATACAAATGGTGGTAATTGTCTTGTTTGCCGCAAAGTTTGGGAGCAGGTCCAGAAATGCCTGGTTTCACAGCAAGCCGGCCGGGCCCCTAGTTGCCTCTCAAACCTTTGAGACATACTGTGGATTTTTGCGAAATCCATTTCGCAGCAGCGTTCAAAAACTCAACGGAATGATTCGATTCCCCTAGAAATACCAACGAACAATAGTTTCCCATGGCTTCAAAGTGGTGCAGGATTCGTCCATCCACATCATGTTCTGAATTGCCCAGGGCCTCAGTGATCCTCTGCTTCTGGAGGTGAACCTATGAAACAATGAGCTCCTAGAGCTAGGTCGGGTAGGTGCAGAAAGCATCCCCGTTGGGCTCATTTGGAGAAGGCTAAGGGGCTTAAGTTTAAGATTTGCAGGATCTGCTGTGTGGGTACCATCTGGCACTTTTACACGCGACCAATAATATGTTTGATTCTGCGCCATCTAAGTCTCAGTCAGCGTACAAGTCACACACGGCTTCTGGCCTGCTCCACGCCCCCTCCCAACCAAAAAGGTCCTGAAACCTCTATAGGTTTCATGGAAAAGCCATTTATTGCCAACTTGTCGTTCCGGGGCGGGCCGGTCACACCAAAGTCCGAATCGCCCAAGTTTCGAGATCCCAGGTGTATCAGCAGCCTCCACTACCAGCCCCTCGTGCTGCATCCACTCGCGGAGCGCGTGGGGAGGAGCGAAGCCCAAAAGCCTCGGGAAGCGACTCAAGATGGTTTGCCGATGTTTGCCGGTTGACGGGTCGACTCCCAATTCTTTCAACCAGTGTTATTTTCGCAAACTTGCCGTTTTGTTGGGTTTCCGGAGGTGTTTGTTCTAGAAAAAGGTGACCTCGAAATATGTATTTATATATGTACATATATTTGTATATATATATATATATGTATCTAGATATGTGTATATATATATATGTATCTAGATATGTGTATATATATATGTATATATATATATATATGTATGTATATATGCATGGCAACCCCCCTAACAAGCCAATCTCTGGGCAAAATGCTGGATGCCACTTCACATGTTGTCCAGCACCTGCTTAGCACTCTGATAGCATAGGATTCAACATGCTTCCCCCAAATAAATTTGGACAAGGTAATACTGCCTCATCAAGGCCTTAAGTAAGAACACCAGGGCAACACTCCCAACAGCCAGGTCCCTATCTCTGGGGGTAACTCCCCTCTCAATGGTATTGGATCCGCAGCCAACATAGGCGCAACAAAACCCAGTCGCTTAGGACATGGGCTCAAGAAACTTGAGCCTAGCCAAACCTTGCACCTTCAAGCCTATTTCATCCGGGTCCGGTAGGGGCTTGGAAAGACCTGGTAGGACCACATGACAACAACAATCTAAAGGCCAAACCAGTAATCCTTTGAGCTGAAAGGTCGCTCTTAGGCTACTAACAAAAAATATCACATTCGATCCATTCGGAAGGCAAATGTGGGCGAATCTTCCATACGAGTGCTCCTCTGGTCGCAGATCCGGCACAGGCCGGAAGAAAGCGCCCAAAAGTGGGAGCCCCGTTTCGGTGGCCCGGAGGGGTGCTATGCAGCGGGCGTTTCGGGTGCAAAAAACAAATACCATCGTCGCAAGTTTTCGGTAACCCCCCTGGCTTTCGGCAGCTCCTTCTGTTCACAGCTTCGCCAATCCAGGTGGCCAATCGAAAAGGATCCAAGCCAAAAATCGTGGCCAATCGAAAGGGGGGAGTTTTCAAACAACCAAAATCCACAGAGGCCGGCGCCAAACCACCGGCTCTGTGAAGTCTGCCGTGGTGTTGTGCGGCCTGACGGGAGTTCCACGTCACCCCAAGACTTCTCAGTGGACCTCCACGAGAAAAAAAAAAAGCACGCCTTTTTGCCGGTCGTTTATTTTTCTTCCCCGGGGAACCCCCTCCAAAAAAATGCCAAAAGGCCATTCCCCACTGGGTCTCAAGAAGCCCGCAAATCTGAGCGCGCACTGATCTGGGCGCAGTTCTTCCCGAGCCTTGAAGACTCCACTCGAGACTTCACAGCGAATCGCAAGGGAGCTGAAGCCACTACCCTGAAGCGCAAACAGGATATGTGACCACTGCAATATGAAGGGTATATATTTGCCATTGGAGGTAGTGGATTTTGGGACCCTCTCAATTCTAAGACCTGGAAACTAGGGAGATGGATTGCCCTACCCACAGACTGAATGTCAAACACTTTGGGACCTACCAGACAGGGTTCGCATTCCGACCCTCGCTTTGCTTGAAAATGAAGGAAGTCCTCTGCTTCATTTCCGCAACGGTGTCAAACTCGCTGACTGTTGCATTATGCTCCCAGCCGATTGCCTTCAGTTTCGGGGATTCGCCCACCGGCCTTCTCTCTGACTGCATGCGTGGGCAGGTCTCACCTGGGCTGGAATTTTCTGCCTTCCCACCCCCGTAAGCCCCGTAAGCCCCGTGTGTAAAACCGGGTGTCGGGGCGGGGGCCTGACAAAGGGTCAACTGAGGGACATTGTTTGTTTGGAATGAATCACCAGCCAGCAAAAAGCGGCCAACGCAAAAAGCGGCCAACTCACAATGTGACAAAACGGCGTTGCTGGAAATCACGAAGGAGATTGGCAATTGGCAACCCTAAATCAAGCTAAGCCCTGTGAAAAAAGGAGCTGCCAGTTCCATCTGTTCGGTAGCAATTCCAGGCTTCATGGCTCCCCTGTCCAAAGGTCCCTTTGGAGCATTCAACCGATGCCCTGATGCCCTTCAACTGGTCTCCCACCAACCCTCGACCATGCTGGACTTGGATGTTGGACCATGGAGAGGATTGATCTCTTAGAAACGAGGTGTCGGGGCGTATTTTCTGAACAACCAACGAAATCAACAAACTTCCAGTTGTCCAAGGCTCCAACTGATAGCAGTCCGAAGTTCTTCATCACCCTGAAAGGAATCCACACTAAAAACCATCCCCTGCAAAATAGCCGGGGGCGGGGGGGGGGGGCTATTCATCAGGGGTCGGCATTAACTTTCAATTGAAGTCACCATTACGTGGGCGGGTGGCTTCCTGATACACACGCAGCGGCTTGTTCTAAGCACAGGCATGCGGTTTTGGACTTACGCTTGAGGCAAAACCGCGAACGGTTGCGGTGGATGCTCCAAGTATCGCAAGTAGGGGAAAACGAGAGAGGAGTGCAAGCAGGAGAATAAGAGGAAGGTGGGAGTTGTGGTTCAATGTGGTTGCTTCACTAGCAATATTTGGGGGATCCGCGCTGCACTTGTGAAACACAATGTGTCCAGCATGCAACATGTATCCCAACTCAAAACATACCCCGCGGAAAAATCCGTCCGCGGGGGTTGAATTGGAAGGCCCCAGCATATCCCCCCTACCTTAGGGGGCAGGGGGTAGGGAGTCCCCCGATTCCATTCATCTAGCCTTCCGATCCCATTTTTTGGGTTGAAAATGGGTTTCTATAAATGGAGATCTTGAGGGGTCGAAATCCCCCCTGCCCCAATTCCATTTTTAAGGCGGGGGAGATCCCGGCTTCTCAGAAGCCTTTCGACGCGAAGCTTTTGGAACTGGGGTTGGCGCTCAGACCTTCGGAGGCACTGCTGAGCTTCGGGTAGATCTCCACAAAGACCTCCTGCGAGTTTCGCGGATCGCGTACAAACGAGCGTTGGCTTTATATTTCCTACAAATAAAAATAGCAACTCCCTACAAATAACGTCTCTCTCTCTCTCTCCCTAATGATGGGAAAACAACTACTACAAAGAAATGAGCTTTTATTTCCTACAAATCACGTCCCTCTCCCTACGAAATTAGCTTGCGGCAAAAACACGCCGCTCAAATATGTTTTGCCGCAACGCTTGCAATATAGGTACCTGGCCCCAAAGACAGCCAGGTAGCTTCTCAATTCATGCAAAGTGAACTCAGTGTGTGAATCGAAGGCTCTGTGCTGAGGAGAACGATTTTGAAGTGGTTCCTCGATATCAGCTCGTGTCTGTTTGTTTTCCTGACTGGCCCAAGTCTATCCGGCAAGGGACCATGGTATGAATCCGAGGTTTTGTTGAGTCTCGGTTGGCTTTCTGCCTGCTCCCCTGCTCAAAGTTTAACTTTTAGTGGCATAATACGGAAAAAAAAAAAAAAAAAAAAAAACATTACTGGGCAAAAAGTTAAAGTCCTAACATCCCTTGGCAAAAGGCACCAAAGGAACAGTTGTTCACTGAGGCCAGTTCACTTTGCGCATGCCTAGGGTTCCAGTCCATGGGAACCATGCCACAGACGGGCTTGTCGGGTACCCTTAAACCAATGCTAGTCACGGTTTTAGCGGTAAATCGTCGGCAGTTCGTCGGCCTATAGTACTTGACTTTGGAGGGAACCCTCTTCCGAAAAAGGAAGCCAGGGCAAACCCTGCTGAAAGCCAAGAACCCGTTGATGCAAGGAACCATTTTGTGGTGAACCCACCAAACTAAAAGGCATTTGGAGGGTGCAGCTGAACGGGCAAGGAACACAATCCGATTTTCTGCCTTTGGGATTTGGTCACTTTGGAGCTTTGCAATACCCTCGATCCTGTCAGGTGGCAGCTGTGTAACCACCTGAGTTTCACTGGGCAAGTGCCACCCACTCTTTGGTCCAGGTGGCCGTCAAGTCTTCCGCCCAGTTCCCATCACACGAAGGGCAGATTGTGCGCGTGCAGCTCGGCAGGCCGCTCTGCGGTTTGGAACCGCTGCGTTTGGCGCCGCCGCCTCATTCGCTGCGTGTGCGGGGCGTAAGCCGCTTTGGGCCTGGTACGGGATCGCGCTGGGAACGGCCCCCGGACTGCCCTGTAGGCTGGGATGTCACTCTGCGTTGCCTCTATACCGGCCTGTGCAGACTTGTCTGCGCAGGTGTGGGTGGCGCGCCTGATTGGCTCGCTCGGATTTATCGCGGCCTGAGGCCCCAACCCTAAACCCCTGCTTCGTGCACCCACATGGGGCAAGTCCCACTTATTCCCCTGAGCACTGTCCCCCTCCTAGCATTGTATCCAACAATGTTTCAGGATCTTTGCACTGCCCCCAGCTCCCTCGGTAACGGGTGCCTGATCACCAGACCCACCCACAAGCCCCAGCGGAAACCTCTCAAGCAATCCGGTCCTCGCACTTTTGAGGCAGCCACTTCCTGGCCGATGACGTGTGACGAACTTTACTAGGTCCTCCAGTAGAGAGGTTAGAATAAGGGTACCCTATTTTTCTGTGGTCTATTTTAGTAGGGGAACCCTCCCCAAAAAAAGGGTAAAAGGGCACTACTGGGGGACCTAGACTAGATTGCGCAATTCCCGGTAGATGTGGGTAGTTTTGGGCTAAGCCAGGCTCTGCCATGATATGTTTCCACTTTCACCCCCACTTGCCTATCGGGACCGTCCACCGGTAAAACGCCCCTCTTGCCCTGGGGGCACATTGGCCAGGGAAACGCCAACAGCCTTGTGTTGGCCACAGGCTTGATCTTCCAAGCAAAAGAAGTGCAGTTGGGACACAAGAAGTGAGGTTGCCACATGTCCAAAAGCCATGTCTGGGCAGCCAAGCGCTGCCAACCCCTCAGAACATGGAAGCAAACTCTTGGATTCGCTGGCCCCCTGACGGTAGCTTTCCCAGGTTGATTTGGGTTCTTTGATTGTTGCAGTTCCAGCCCAGCAAAAGCTCAAAGGTTTGTAACGCTGAACAATCACTGAAAGCACCACAGTTTATCCGCGTGTGGTTCCCTGTGCGGAACAACACCGGCGAAAAAAAAAAAAAAAAAAAAAAAAAAAAAAAAAAAAAAAAAAAAAAAAACACATTTTGGCTGGCGCCCACTCACAACAAGCAGGCTTGCAATGAACCAACCATCGAAACAGCACAAGGAGAACGTGAAAACGGGGCCCGAAATAATGAACGCCTCCATGAAGCTTGTTGAACATTCATGGCCATCATGATGGAAAACCGAGTTCGTTGCCCGCTTTGCCAAAGAACAAAGGGCACCAGCTGCCCCTTTGAGAACCAGAATTGGAACCACTTCTTTTTTGGGATTTGCCAATTTTGGTGGGGAACCTGCCAAGCTTCTATTTACTTGAGCCCACTGAAAATAATAGAACATGTGTCGAATAGTGATACATTCCCTTTAATTCCAACAAGCAACAAAGAAAAACACATTCATTTCAGCAACTGGATGTTTCTCGGGGTTGGCCAATTTTAGTGGGGAACCCACCAAGCAACAAGGAATTTCGAGGGGCGACACGACCCCAAGAACGCGCTGCTTCTGCTTGGTGTCCGGGCTCGTTGGGCAGGCCCTGCAGCATCTCCACCCGGAAGCAGGCAGGCATCAAGCGCCTCAGTGCTGCGCTAAGAGTGACTCACTTTTAGTGGCTTAAATACGGAAACTACCACTGAACACTAAAAAGCTAAGGAACCGGATGGCTGGGAGCCACCAAGAGTGGCAAACCAAGGAGCCGTTGGCTCCCCAAACCCTAATAGCTGTTTGTGCCGAGCGCAGCGCCCCAAATCAATTTGAACAGAACCAACAAAAAAGCCCACAACACCTCAAAGAAGAAGCAAAGACCGGTGAAGGTGAAGAAAAACTGATCTCAGCCCGGATTTCCATGGCCAACTATGGCAAAATAAGTGCACCTTCCCCAAGGAATGACAGCCATTGGGCAGGGTCTTTGAGATTTGGAGACTCTTTTCAAGAGGTGTACATGTTTACAAGCAAATCACTGGGTTTGAATATCACATTTATCTTGAAATGGTTGCAACTAGCTGCAGACCCAATCTTGCCTTTGCGACTTCCTTTGCACAACCTCTAGCATCTTAGCAGAAGGCCGGTTCCCTGCTTCCTAAGTAAATGATTGTTCAGGCGCGCAATGCTCTGATTGGCCGTAGCTTGCATGGAGGTGTTGTCTGAGAGCACGGGAAAGCGCCTCAGGACCATGTGGCCGCCATAGAAAGGGGTGCAACTAGACAATCTCTCAGTTCTCAGTTCTCCAGACTCTCTCACATGCCTGTGGCATAAGCACGCAGAATGTGAGTGCCTAAAACGCAGGTGCAGAAAATGTCTGAAAATGCAAAATGCCAACGCATAGCGTGCGTGTGGAAAACGCTCAGATTCCGAATTTGCTCCGTGGCTTTGTTGAAAGAGGGTGACCTGAAGCCTGCTAAAGCATTCCCCTCTTATCTGTTCAAAGAAGGGCTTGGAACAGTTGAACAAGTAGCGATCCGCTGTTGGCTTCTTTTTTGCGACCATGAATGCGTGTGAGCACCCAGCTAAAAGGTGGATCAAATAGGGGTCAGCATGTATTCTCTAGTCACGAGTCACGAGTCTTTCCACCACAAAACGGAATGTGGGGTCGCCATACATGAAGTTCATGGGCGGGAACCTGTCAAACCATTTGAAGAAAAGCAGGTGCTAAAACTGGTTCAGCACAAAGCCCTGGAAGCCTTTCAACAAAAGAAGTCCGACTTGTTGCTTGCTTAGCCCAAGAACGGTAAGCCTAGTCTCTACTCAAGGAAGTCCTGATCATGATGCTGACCTCGGATTGAGAAACCTGGTGGATTCATGTGATTCTGCTTCCCTCTGAAACGGGGTCCCCCCAACCCAAATCAAGCAGGAACTTAGTAATCCTGGGTTCTCATTACCCTCGGTCTGGTGTTTCAAGACGGCGGCTGTTTTCTAAGCCCAGTCCATAATTCGTGGTGGGACACCGCTGCTGATGAAGGATGAGTTTCGAGCCACCCATTGCGATTGTGTGGTTTTAACCCAGAGTTCTAGTGGCCATGGGAAAAGAAGGCACCCTCTTTTGGCATTGACTTTTAGAAGCCTACCTTTGTTTTCAAGTAGCCTAATTCGTAGTGGGACAACACTATGTGAGCCGCACTATCACCAAACTTAGGCTCTTGAAAGCAAGGCGTTGAGCACTTCGAACTACGCTGAAACCGCATGCACGAGCTGTCTGTCACATCATTGCAAAGACACCTGCAGCTGTCAACTGTTGGACTGCGCGTTGTCTCACGATTTGTTTAAATGAATGTAGCGATCGATGTTGAGCTCTGTTTTCGTGCCTGCCTTCAAAATGAAGACGCCCTGCCAAACTGATAAGACCCACGGCAGCCATGGCCAAAGAAAATACTTTGAACAGCCCAGCAAGCCAGAAGTCCAGCAAATAGCTCCTCAAACGGATTTGAAGCTCTTCAACTTGGCCGCTGCACACCGAGAAAAACAACAACCAAAAAACATATTATTACTATGTTCCATATTTCGTCTTCCTCAAGTGTCCGCGTTTGCAGACCCAAAACCTCAAGAAGGGAGCCGAGGCTCCGGGCAGCATCATCTCTTGGCTCAGCAACGGCTTGTCCATCGCCACCTCGCCAAACTTACGGACGTGTGTCACTCACTTGGGTATGGGTCAAAATTAAGCCACCAGGGGACCGTCCATTTTGGGCACCTATGTTTGACCCACAGCCACTTGCCCCTGCCCTGGCGGGCAGAAATTGCCGCTGATCACCTTTTGCAACCTTGGCTAAGCATAGGCCAGCAGGGGAAGACCTAAAAAAAAGGCTCGATTCGTTCTGGGCAAGTGATAAAACTTACAAGGTACGTGCCATTAAACACATGACCCGTAAATGAACAACTTTTAAGTGGGTTAGGACCAAACAATGATAAACTGATAAACTGCAAAGTGGGTATGCGTCAAATGCTCTGAATATGAACCCCACATTGGCGGTTGTCCTTTGTTTTCCCTTGAAATGGAAAACGAAGGAAAGCCAAAAACGAAAAGTCAAAAGGAAAGCAGTCGGTCCGGCAAGAGAGTGAAGGTAGCGGGACAAAGCCTGGGCCCCTTTAGGGGAAGCAACAGGTCGTTCAATAGCCCTTACAGCATCACCCCAAAGGAACTCAATTTCCATCCAAACACTGATGGTAAAACTGACCACGGCCTTTGCCACAATCGATTCCTTTCACCATGGGGTTGGGTCAACCCCTGCAGAAACCAGCCTGGTTTAAACAGCCTTCAGATTTCCCTTGAAAGAGGTGCTTCCCGATCATTTTTCAGAAAGTAGGGATAAGCCAACTACGTGCAAAGCAGCCTAAGCTCACGCGAATTCCAGTTGCCAACGGGTAGCCAAGACAAAACGACATTGGGAAACCCGAGGGGCATCAACAGCAAGACAACATGAACACCTACTAAGACAGTTTATTTCCAATTCTCTTCACCCATCTGGGAGAAATATGTGATTCGGGCACGAACCTGTGCCCAGGCAATGGGTAAGTTGGGGTAAACAAGCCACAAAAGAAAGGTTCCCCAAAAGCAAACCAATCCCCGGTCCCAAAGATCAGGGTTTCCCACACACCAGAGAACAACAACCAAAGGAAAACAAACCAAACCAGAAAAGGATACCCGCAACCTAGATCGACGATGAACCGCACGGGCGATCCCCACCAACCTACCCCGGGCCGAAGTCTCTTTCTCCTCCGACACGAAGGCGGTCGACGTGAGGGCCCGGCGACGCTCATCCGAGGCGCGCCGGATCCAAAACTTGAGCCAAAACACCACAGGTCGGTCACTAACGCGACGTCCCTGATGATGATATGAACCATGGCTAATCACACCCCCCTCACGAGGAGCCCGTCATATGACGGGCGGAGCGTGCCATTTACTGATAGGATTTAACTGCTCGCATGCGTCCGCAAACAGCTGGACACTACCGCCGTCAGCGGTGGAACAAACCCACAAAGGCAGTTGCGCGACATCCCGGGCATTAAATTCCCGCCACCACCCCGAATTAATCGGGGTAACGCTGTCCAACAACCTTGTGGAAAAGTCCACATGACGACACTAGGTCACAACTGTTTGCATCAACAATGCAAGAAGTTTAATTCTTATCAGAAGCCATGAAATAAAAGATAACGTATGTCCATTAGTACCCTCGCCTAACGGCAAGAGGTACTCCTGACCATGCGTACCTGAATAAAAATGCTTGAATTCAGCAAACCCGGGAGTAACCCCCCCATCAGTTTGCTTTCCCTCCCACTCACATTGCTCCCTGATGAACACGTCCAGCAGCCCAGCAGCGGTATGGGAGAGACATGACCTCCGCGCCTCAGCGGTCCGGGAGGAACATCACCACCTCCGCACCGCGCCGACCATTGGAGAACGGACGCAAGCCTATCGGCCGCAATCCTCGTGACTCAGCCTACCGGCTATCGTCACGTCTCCTCCGGTCACGTCCGCCCCGCGCACGGTCCCTATCACGATCCCTCTCGGATCTCCTGCGATCATCTCGCCTTCGATCTCGCTCCCGATCGAGTGATTCATCATCACGACGATCACGAGCATCGTCCCTCCTCCGGTCTCGCTCATCCTCGCGCCGTGGACGGTATCTGCGCCTCCTTGACTCCCTGGAATCCCTGGTGTCCACGGTCCTAACGGACCTCCGAGAAGGAGTACGGGAAACATCCGATTCCCTACGCCTCCTCCCAGATCGAGAGTTCGTCACGATCTGGTTGAGAGCCTCCAGTGCCGACGCGTCCTCACCATTCCTGATGAAATCCCCAACCTGCTTGTTCAGCACTCTGTTGGTGGAGATCGACAAGAAAGCGTCCACCACCGAACTCTCAGGCAGCACCAGAAAGTGACCCTCCACCGGGCTCGCCGCGGCCCGCTCAGCAGACTGCAGCCGGATCTCCCCGCCTTCAGGCTTCTTTGCCATCGCCTTGGAGGCCGTCAAAGGCGCTACCGCATCCTTTGCCGAAGATCTGCCAAGCGCGGAGTGAAGATCATCCCCGCTAGCTTCTCTCGCTGCCGCACCTGGTCTGCTGTCGACGTCGCCAGGCCTCGTGGACGCCTCCCGCTTCGTCGACTCCTTCGCAGCCTCGTCGGGATCCCAACGGGATTTCCTTTCTCTCTTCTGCCCTTCGGCCGACCCGCGGCTACCGCCGGGAGCGTCACCCTAAGGCCGAGCCGAGAGGGAAGGCTGCTTCAGCATCTGAGGCGAAGAGTGCTCCGGCTCCAAAAGCTGTGGCTAAGGAGACGAAGCAGGCCGAACCGAAGGTTGAGGTCAAGAAGGAGAAGACAGGCGGAACCGGGGTCATTTTAGCCTTAGCACTCGGCCTGGCCCCTTCAACCACCATCTCGGCCCAAGACTTCTTCGGCTGAGCTGCTGCTGTATCAACCTCCATTGGAGCAGGTCCAGCATCATCCCTTCGCCTTTGGGACAGATGGGCTACCGCCCTTACCAGATCCTTTACCTGGCACTTCACCTGATTTTGGTGGTGGGCCGGAAGGACTACCGCCCTTACCGCCCTTTTCCCCTTTCTTCCCTTTTCCTTTTCCGCCCTTGGGGACCGGCTCCTGCTTGGGACCAGGACCCGGCGCAGCATGATGCACCGATTGGAGTCCCTCGATGTCCACGTTCAATGGTTCGGGTTGACGACCGTCAAGAACCGTCCTCACCCTTTCGTCACTAACGTAGACGAACGGGTCACGGAAGGGTGCGGGAGGCTCCGACTGTCCGGCGCTGATCGCCTTCTGCACCTTGGCTATCGCCTCCTTCAACCTCTTCTTCTCATCGTACCCTGTCTCCGATACCATGTACTTCCTGAGCTGCGAATCAACGCATGACTCTCCAGGATGTCCACGTCCTTTCGATGGGTCGGGTACAATGGGGTCAGATGACCAGCCGCGGAACCAATCACGTATGCCATCGGAATATAGAATGACAAGTACGTGTCATGACGAGCGAACTTCCTAACGGAAGTCGTCATACGCCTACCCCACTGAGCAGCGTGTCTTGGGTTGGCCCGGAAGTACTCCGTGACCGACTCAAATCTATCGACTTGGTTGGTCTTGATCAGGTGCTTCGCCACCCACTTCTCCACAAACGCATCCGAGGCCGAAATCCCGGACACATAGGAGAATTGGAATAGCACCTTCGCCAGCTCATCCCACGCCGCATCGACACCTCCCTTGTCTTCACCAAGATAAGGGGGAAGTCTGATGCCGCTCTGCACCGTCATCCTTAGATCGGATGCCATCGAATAGGAAATCAAATTCCTCTTGATGACTCCGACCACTTCGGAGGGAATCCTCCTGGGCTTGAACTGCCCCATGGTCCTCACCCACTCCGGCACGATGTGGCACGTTTCGAAGTCCTTTTCCTCCGCGTTGGGGATAAAGTTCGGGTAAAAGACCGGGAGCGCGCACCCGGGACACAAGTGCATCCCATTCGGCATCAATTCTGCGCACCTCAAGCAGAACGTGGCAGTCACATTCAGCCTGATCTCTTCCCGTGATCGCCTGTGCTCTCCCCTAACGGGGGTGAAGTCACCGTAGTCCCATGCCCGATGGTACACTATCGTGTAATCATCGTACATATACGCCGCCTTCCAAGCCCCCATGTGGATCTCGTTCCTAACGGCAAGAGTCTTCCTTCTTGTCAAAAACACGGGTCCAACCAAGGACCAGTGCACCCGAAGATCCACCATTACCACCACGTACCTGCCGGAGTAGTTCCGCAGCCTGTCCCTGACATACCACGAAGGCGATACCTCGGCATCCGGCGCCATGGCTCCCACAAGTGGGATCAGGCCCTCATCCTGTCTACCATCCCCAATGGTCTCGTACACATCGGGCCTCGTGATCAATATCTCGATCATGGCCTTTCCATTTCGCCTCACCCTTTGGAGCTGAACCGCCTTCCGAAAGTCCGAGAACTTCATGATGACGTATCCCACCATGGGGAGTTCATTCCAATGCATCTCATACATCAGAGATCCGCCAGGTGCATCTTCCTGAGTATACCTGTGCCTAACGGCACTGTAACTCAAGTCGCGTCCGATCCGCGTGTGCCTAACGGCAACCAACCTGGTGCTCTCTTTGAGGAGAACGCCATCCCCGTCGTACATGACCATGAGCATCGCCTCCACTTGCCCTATCGGGAAAGCTTTGAGCGTCGGAATGAAGAACTTCCAAGACATCTCAGCGTTCTCCATACCCGAAATCTCCTTCAGGAACCAGATGGCCTGGTCACTTTTCACCCAGTTTCCAGCCTCACGTCCGGTCTCCTTCAGCACACGTTCCTCGAATAACTCCGAGACTCTCTTTGAATTGATGACCAAACCGTCGAAATCGCACGAGAGCAGTCTCATCAACTCCTTCGCCGCCTCCCGTCCTGCAACAGTGCCCACGGTCTCCTCGTAGTTCGGGAGGTATTCGCCCAACCTCGTCTTCGAGGGAACCACAATCTGGCAAGTGACGGCCTCATCAGGGATAACTCCCGTTTCCCTTAACTCTGGATTGATCTCTCGCCTATCGGCAAGATAATCCTCCTTCCCATCCAGTATCACAAGATTGTAGGTCATCTTGCT